AGGGCAATTCATGTGTGAGCATGTTCTTACTCTTACTCTTATGTTGGTCAAATGTCCTCTTTAAGCTATTCTTAAGGATAGAAATGTTTAGCTGGATTTAGGTTAGGTTCAATATATGGTATTGGTAGTATAGTGGTGTAGTAAAGGGCAGTTTAATGGTCATGCATTTAGTTATTGGTGGACATAATAAGCACCCTCCCATAAAAGTTAATAGCTGTAACAGCAACAGTAATCATTTTTTAGCCACTTGAGGGCAGAAGAACTCTAAAACAAGCTGACAGATTCACAATAAGGAAGTTGTTTTGCCTAAAGTTCATGTGGTAGCAAACAACTTTCCATTTAGACATCAAGCCAACACAGAGCAACATTATTATTCCATATGAGTTTGTGTGTTTGTTGTGTTTCAGGCCACTGACTCGAATATTCACTCACCTATTAGCTCTGTTCTTCTCTCCACCAACTACTGAGAAACATACATGTCTCTTTAGCTGCGCGTGTTCCACTCTGCAGCATGGCTCCAGTGGTCCATGCTAATACTTAGCATATGCTACCTAATTATACACTGCCATAGTTACTAATACACTTTTAACTTTAAGATAATAAGTGGACCTTGAGTTTAATCTATTGGCTTGTTTTAGTTTATGTGCTGGTATTGTATTCTCATGGTAATTGATGCAATCTTGAAATTCTATATGACTAATAGAGATATACAGTTAAGGTTCAAGGTTCATCTGTTGTAAATGCAGTTGTAGTCCATGTTGTATGCTACATAAGAAAAGCAAAACAAAGCTTTTTTATGATGGAGTCTCACCGCCTGAGGGAAGAAGCTTCTCAGTAATCTAGTGCACAACAGCCGAAACTTCTGTATCTTTATGGGTGTTGTCTTTTAATATCCTTTGGGCTCTCAGCAGGCACTTTTTGTCACCAATATCACTGATGCTCGTTAGATGGGTACCAATGATGTACTTCTTTTTTGTGCTGGAGAACGAGTTTCTCAAATCATTTCATCAGAAAGGGGGTGAGTGCCATGGGGCGGTAGTCATTTAGACCGGACACTGCAAACTATTTAGGTACAGGTATGACAATGTCTTTCTTGAAGCAAGTGGAAAATCTCTGCTATGACAGTGATATCTTAGGCATGCCAGTGATGACATCAACTATTTGTGTCAACAACACAGGTGTTAGTTGGAGCCATGCTAAAACATTAGCATACAAATGTTAAGTCATAGGCCTCCACAAGTGAGACACTTGAAGTGTTAGCATGGGAGCTACTCACTCAACATAATTAATGTGTTAACACCAGAGTAGTGTGTGCGTGTGTGTCTGTGTGTGTGTGTTTTCCTCTGTATTTCTTTTCTTGGATCACTCAAACATGAAGATCCAGTATGTCTCACATGTGAATGATGCCCTATCGTACGGCTGTGTTGATAGATAGTTCTAAAGGAAATAATGTCCTTCATGTAATCTGTGCTTGTTTTGCTAGCTCTGCTGACAGACGGTGCCTTGCTGTCATGGTTACCTCCAGAGAGGGCAGTGCTTGTCACCGTGGAAACTGGGAGGGGCAATGATGCCCCCAGCCTGGGCACTGGTCTCTCACATCATGTGTGCAGAGGTGGGGGAGGTTGTTTTTTATTATTGATAAAGCTCCTAGCGTTCCTCAGATGAAGACAGTGACTTCTTTAAATGAATGTTTGATGTAATGTGAATGTGGGCTTTGTCATGCTTAGGAGGTTTGATTAAGTCATGAAGTAATGGTCTATGAGCAGGAACATGTTGTTATAGAAAGGACACATAATACTAAAAGATACACATTATTCAGTTTGGTTATATTTTCTGTGTATTCAAGTACCTAACAGAATTCTAAAATGTACTAACTGTGGTGAAAGAAGCAGGAAAGCACTGACCTTCATGCCTGGCTAAGGTCCCTATTCATTGCAGACTCACCCCAAACATGACCTTCATGTAGCTGTAGGCCTCTTACAGTGTTTTCTTTTCTTCTGATATGCACAGCACATTCAAAACATTTACCCATCAAAAACACTGACTAAGCTCCTTATAACCAGGAGTTATGAAACTATTTCTGTAGGAAGCTGACTGCCACAATTCTCCCTTTCTCTGCAATGTTAAGTATCATCCATGCAAAAGCCCCACTTGTCTGAGAGTCCTGTTGGTCTCAGTGTCACTATAGCAACCCGCCAGTTGGAGAACAATGATGAGGGCAAGGTCTTGCATAATGTGACTCTGCAGCTCTGGAGGGAATGTGAGGATATTATCAGACAGGCTTGATTGTGAAAATGGCTGCTTTGTGCATTGCTGCTAGAAAACAATAGTAACCCCGTAAGAACATGCATGAGGCTGTATAAATAAGTCTTTCCAGGCTAACAAAAGTGCCCGCTTGGATGCCTATGCTGATGCTCTATAGGGTGCCCTTCCAGTGGAGAAGTGTGATGAAAATGTGATGCAGGGATCTCTAGGGTGCCCTTCCAGCAGAGAAAACGTGATGCTAGGGTGCCCTTCCAGCAGAGAAACTGTTGACTAAGTGATACATAGACTTGCAATGCACCCCCCCCCACACACACACACACACACACACACACACATTTGTATAAAAGCGCACCATCTATCTTAAACTTGCTTCAAGTCTCTGCAAGTTGACTTTAGACGTTTTCATTGAAGCTGTCTGTAATGTTATTCGTATTATGTGTAGACTGTGGACTGAAACATGGAGAAGCATTAGTATGGTCCTTTAAGGTGATAGCGGCGCTGTTGCAGAAAGCTCCAGCAGTCGTGTGTCTGAGTGATGCAATGCAGTTCTCTGCAGCAGCCAGACTGACTGCAGGTCAGTCGGAACCATACGACCAGGATTATTTGTGATTGTTTGAAGAAGACATCAGTGCTGCGGTGTCACTGATCATTTTATGCATCATCAGGGCTGCATTGTTTCCTCTGATCTTTGCATTCTACGTGTGAAACTGTGTGCAGGGTGCTGCTGTAAGGGACTGAGTGACAGACTGTGATGAAGGGAAGGACAAATGAAACTCTGAAAGAGCCTGCTAATGAAAATTTGATGCAAACTGTGACCTTTACAGCCAATGAAAGACCATTCCTTAGCAAAAGAAATAAACAGGACATCCCCTGAACTGTCCATGAGCAGGACAGTGAGTCCCCATACCTCCAGTGTGGTGCTACAGTATTTCTGAAACTGACCTCTGACCTCCTCCTGGAAGGAATAGCGCAGTTTGAATGCAGCAAAAATAAGCATCACACAGTGTTTTTCCACAGGAGGAACAGAGAGCTGGGAGCTTTGAGCATGCTGTATGTGAGCCAGAATTTAGCTTTAGTGACGGTGCCAAGAAGAAAATGCTGAATCATTCTGCCTCCTTACAGTCCTGGTCTGTTTCCAACTGCAGCTCACTCAGCCTCCAAAAACAAACAGGCGACATGTCCTTCCCAAACCTTGACCATAAATATCATTGTCCACTAAGGAAACCGTATATGTCTAATTATGGATGCACATTAATTGTTGCTAACGATTTATTGTGGGATTCTGCTCAATGCCAGTTTAGACTTTAGTTCTTTAAAGAAAATGAAAGCATGTTAATTACATAAGCATGCATACATATAATTATGTTCCAGTTTATTTTTAGAGCACAATGTCATACAAAACCAACTAAAACCAATTTATGGAGTGATGAGTTCCAAACAGTCTTCAGATTAGATAGAACTTAACTGTCAATGTACAATTCAATGTCACACAGTAACTACCAGTACAACAAAATGCAGTTAAATGTGGTGTTCACTCACCAAAACCCATTGTGCATATCAGTCAGCGCTAACAGATGTGTTGAATGCATTTCCTTCCAGACTTTTTAAGTATCTGAAATCTAGCATTGTTTACTTCCGTGGTTACCATCTTGCTATCTTCTTCACTGCTTTTGTTGGCACATTGCTGCATTTCTACCTCATACTGCCACCTGTGGATCAGTGGGACAATGTGACAGGACTGTGTAATGCCACGTGTCACCTGCACAACCGCATCTAGCTAGTCCACTAGCATGAGTTTGTGTAGTTATATACTTTAAAAAAACGGAACAATGTGAGGTAAAATAGAGCAATGAAACTGCAATGAAAAAGGAGAGAGCAAATCATCTGCATAGCTCTAATAACTGATACTATGTTTGCAGATGATGGTGTCAAGTGGGAGCAAAAAGATTAAACAGATGAGGTCCAAGAATGGATCCTTGTGGGACACCATAGAGCTTTGAAACACTCCAGTACATTGTCAGATGGAAAATGCTATGGTCAACATCATTTTGGTATCAGTGGTAATCCTTGAATGGTGAGCATAAATAGAGTGTATTTTCCCCCATCGGTTTTAACAGTAGAGTTCAATATATTTATTGCACCTAGCTTAAAGCTACTTTCCCCCTGTAGTCCCTGGGCACAGGCCCCCAGTGTTTGATGAAGTGCAGGTTGACAAAGTAAAACAAATCATTTAAAACAATACACTTTTGAAAACAGACAAAGTAAGACATCAATATTACAATCAGGAAAAAAATATTCGTTTTCAATAAAGATCATGACATGATGATTAACAAACAATCAAGCGGTACAAACATTTTCCAACTGACCAATGCTTGCAAACAAAATGTTGTCTCAAACTCTGACACTGAATTTAGTGCGCTCTCTCTGATACTCAGTTGTTCCACGTCCCGTCTGCACTAACGTAACTGAAACAGAGTTTTGACCAAACTTAGACTGTAATTCAGTCCCCTCTCCTGGAGGCTTCAGCTAACCATGGCCCAGTGCTAAACAGCTGAAGAGTTTGTGGAGTTAGATTGTGAGTTGGGTTTTTTAGTCCATTAATTGAGAAAGAATGTGACTCATTAAGAATTTTGTGATAACTATTCATCATCGACAGCCAAAGAGGAAATTTATATGTGCTTTGGAAATTATGTCGATGATTTTATGAAAATATATTTCTCCTGTGTCTCTTACAGTCGGACAGCAACACCAGTTTCCTGCGAGCGGCAAGAGCAGGGAACATCGACAAGGTTTTGGAATATCTCAAAGGGGGAGTGGACATCAGCACCTGCAATCAGGTAGGAGACATATCACATAACATGACTTACAGCCGGACAAGCACAGGGGTAATATTAGTATTCATTGTGATTTCATTTAGGAGTACTTACATGAATGCTTCTAGATAGGGATTATTTACTGAGCTACCTAAATGGATTGTTATCGACTGTTGGAATAATGTGGATGAACCACAGCATTGTTATACTGTTCAGACACCAAGCACAGGTAAAACAGCTTAAGCTGCCAACTTCAATTACTGAAATTTTCCAGCACAGTTTGGTTGAGGCGGTTGTTATTTCCTTACAGCTGTAGTAAGTGATTGTAGGCCACTTATCACCTGTGAAGTTGTTATGGCCAACATGTGAGCAAACGGTTGCCTGTACACATTCAGCAGACACAGAGCAACATTATAACTCATTTGGAGTTGTGTTTATGTTTACCCAAAAGAAAACTGACTTTTTAGCTGCTAAATGTTCCACAATGTTCGCCAGCTAGTCTTTAAACGTGTATTTGCTGTTTTGTGCTCATCAGGTGGTGAACAGTGGGTTTATCAGAGTTTATAACCGAAAACAGCTGCTGGAAACCAGGCTGATAAGAGTTTTTGCAGGCTGACACGCCAAAACAGTGAGCTAAAAAGGCAAAAAGGCTCTGAGCAAGAGCTGAGGGGAACTGCAGAGTTGATAATAATTTCTGGGTTTGTCAATACAAGCGATACCTTTAACATTACATAGTCATTTGATACATTTTATCCTGTTAAGTGAGTCCAATGGTGTTTATCATATAATCCACAGAATGTATTATTCAAAGAGCTAATGTGCTCATGCTGTCCACCACTAATCTTTGCTTTATTATCATACAAAAATGGTTCAGTAGCGGAGAGGACTGTGTTTGATCTGGGAGAGTTTCTTTATTTAGGTCTAGTTATCTAGCGTCCTCTAAGCCAATTAGCATTCCAGCATAGACGAGGGGGCCAATGAAACCTGATGCAGCCATGATGACCAGCCCGGTAAACAAAAGTCACATGGAGTGGAAATTTAAGATTAGCTGGTGGCTCTGTGGTATGTGAAGACATTTTTTGTTATCAACTGATGTTGGCACCATCAAGATATTTTTGAGCTAGGTTTAATAGGTTTAAAAATGAATCACAGTAATTGTCACTTATCAAAGTATGATGTCAACAGGAAATAGACACCATCTAGTTAGTAATTGAGATAGTTGTTTTTGAATGCCTTTTTATATATAGCATTGGATTAATTCATTTCCTTTCCACATACAGTATAATAATGGTACTCATACTTCTTGTGTCACAATGTGCTTTTTCCACCCATCCCATCCATTTTCCACCGCTTATCCGGGGTCGGGTCGCGGTGGCAGCAGGCCAAGCAGGCCGACCCAGACCTCCCTCTCACCGGCAACATATTCCAGCTCATTCTGGGGGATCCCGAGGCGTTCCCAGGCCAGCTGGGAGATGTAATCTCTCCAGCGTGTTCTGGGTCTTCCCCGGGGTCTCTTCCCAGTTGGACGTGCCTGGAAAACCTCCAGTGGGAGGCGTCCAGGAGGCATCCTAATTAGATGCCCGAACCACCTCAGCTGACTCCTTTCGACGCGAAGGAGTAGCGGCTCGACTCCAAGTTCCCTCCTGATGACCGAGCTCCTTACCCTATCTCCAAGGCTGAGCCCGGCCACCCTACGGAGGAAACTCATTTCGGCCGCTTGTAGCCGCGACCTTGTCCTTTCGGTCACGACCCAGAGTTCGTGACCATAGGTGAGGGTAGGAACGTAGACCGAGTGGTAAATTGAGAGCTTTGCCTTCCGGCTCAGCTCCCTCTTCACCAAGATGGTCCGCTGCAGCGCCTGCTTTACTGCTGCAGCCGCACCGATATGCCTGTCGATCTCCCGCTCCATTTTACCCTCACTCGTGAACAAGACCCCGAGATACTTAAACTCCTTCGCTCGAGGTCGGCACTCCGTTCCCACCTGGAGGGAGCAATCCACCGGTTTCCGGCAGAGAACCATGGCCTCAGATTTGGAGGTGCTAACTCTCATCCCCGCCGCTTCACACTCGGCTGCAAACCGCCCCAGTGAATGCTGGAGGTCATGATCCGAGGAGGCTAACAGGACCACATCATCTGCAAACAGCAGAGAGGCGATCCCGAGACCCCCGAAACTGACGTTCTCCGCCCCCAGGCTGCGCCTAGATATCCTGTCCATGAAAATCACGAACAGGACTAGTGACAAAGGGCAGCCCTGGCGGAGGCCAACACCCACCGGGAACGTGTCTGACTTATTGCCGAGAATGCGGACACAGCTCCTACTGCAGTCGTACAGAGACCAGATCGCCCGTTGTAACGGGTCCGGCACCCCATACTCCCGCAGCACCCCCCACAAGACCCCCCGAGGGACCCGGTCGAAAGCCTTTTCCAAGTCCACAAAGCACATGTAGACTGGTTGGGCAAACTCCCAGAGCCCCTCCAGTAGTCTTGCGAGGGTAAAGAGCTGGTCCACTGTTCCACGGCCGGGACGTTATCCGCACTGCTCCTCTTGAATCTGAGGTTCGACAAGCGGTCGGAGCCTCCTTTCCAGCACCCTGGCATAAGCCTTCCCCGGGAGGCTGAGTAGTGTGATACCCCGGTAATTCGAGCACACTCTCCGGTCCCCCTTTTTGAAGATGGGAACCACCAACCCGGTCTGCCATTCCATGGGCACTGATCCCGACCCCCATGCGACATTGAAGAGGCGTGTCAGCCAGGACAGCCCAACTATGTCCAGCGCCTTCAGCATCTCAGGGCGGATCTCATCCACCCCCGGCGCCTTGCCACCAAGGAGCTTTTTAACTACCTCAGCGACCTCTGCCAGGGATATGGGTGAGCCTCCCCCTAGGTCCTCAGGCGCTACCTCCTCTGCAGAGGACATGTTGGTCGGGTTTAGGAGTTCCTCAAAGTGCTCTTTCCACCGCCCAACGATGTCCTCCGTCTGGGTTAGCAGTTCCCCCCCCCTGCTGAGAACAGCCTGGGGTAAGCCCTGCTTTCCCTTCCTGAATCGTCGGATGGTTTGCCAGAACCTCCTTGAGGCCAACCGAAAGTCCTTCTCCATGGCCTCCCCGAACTCCTCCCATGCCCGAGTTTTAGCATTCGCAACCACCGCAGCTGCAGCCCTTCTGGCCTGCCGGTACCTGTCAGCTGCTTCAGGAGACCCCTGGGCCAACCAGGCCTTGAAGGTCTCCTTCTTCAGCTTGACGGCTTCCCTCACCTCCGGTGTCCACCACCGGGTTCTCGGGTTGCCGCCACGACAGGCACCGATGACCTTCCGGCCGCAGTTCCTAGCGGCCGCGTCCACAATAGAGGCTTTGAACATGGTCCACTCGGATTCCGTGTCCCCAACCTCCCTCAGGATGTGTGAGAAGTTCTTCCGGATGTGGGAGTGAAAGACCTCCTGGACAGGGTCCTCCGCCAGACGTTCCCAGTTTACCCTCACTACACGTTTGGGTTTGCCGGGCCTCTCCAACCGGTTCCCCTGCCATCTGATCCAACTCACCACCAGGTGGTGATCAGTTGACAGCTCTGCTCCTCTCTTCACCCGAGTGTCCAAGACATACGGCCGCAAATCAAATGATACGATTACAAAGTCGATCATTGATCTCCAGCCTAAGGTGTTCTGGTACCAGGTACACTTATGAGCCACCTTATGTTCGAACATAGTGTTCATTATGGCCAAACAGTGGCAAGCACAGAAGTCCAATAACGAAACACCATTCGGGTTCAGATCGGGCAAGCCGTTCCTCCCAATCACCCCCCGCCAGGTTTCTCCGTCATCGCCCACGTGAGCGTTGAAGTCCCCCAGGAGAACTATGGAGTCAGTAGGCGGCGCCCTTTCCAGGACCCCTCCCACTGACTCCAAGAAGGCCGGATACTCCGAACTGCTGTTTGGTGCATAAGCACAAACCACAGTCAGAGCCTTGCTCCCCGCAACCCGTAGGCGCATGGAGGCGACCCTCTCGTTCTCCGGGGAGAACTCCAACATAGCGGCGGAGAGCCGGGGGCTCGTGAGTATCCCCACTCCCGCCCGGTGCCTCTCACCCTGGGCAACTCCGGAAAAGGACAAAGTCCAACCCCTCTCCAGGAGCTTGGTTCCAGAGCCAACGCTGTGTGTGGAGGTGAGTCCAACTATTTCTAGCTGGTATCGCTCCACCTCCTGCACCAGCTCCGGCTCTTTCCCCGCTAGCAAGGTGACTTTCCACGTCCCTAGAGCTAGTCTATGCCGCCGGCGATTGGCATGCCCAGGCCTCCCGCCCGACCCGCCGCCCGGTCTGCATAGCACCCGACCCCGATGCTTGTCCCTGCGGCTCCATGGTGTTTATTCGGGCTGAGCCCAACTGGGCCCCATGGGCAAAGGCCCGGCCACCAGACGCTCGCCTATGAGCTCCCCTCCTGGGTCTGGCTCCGGGAGGGTGCCCCGGTTTCCCTGGTCCGGGCGAGGTGGCTAAAGTCCGTGGGCTAACTATCATAGGGGTCGTTTTGAACCGCTCTTAGTCTGGGCTCTCCCCTGAAACCTGTTTGCCTTGGGAGACCCTACCAGGGGCTAATGCCCCGGACAACATAGCTCCCAGGATCACTGAGCCACTCAAACTCCTCCACCACGATAAGGTGGCGATTCCACCAATATCTATACATTTATAAACCTTCTAGAAGCAGACAAGTCTCAAAAGATTGAAAGTTACAACTTTTTGTAGGTCAAAATTTCTACCATATACCAGATTTCAGAATGGACTTCAGTGATTAATGAGCATTACTGGTGTAATTCTGGGTACATTAGGAGTTGGGTAAACCACCCATCAAGATACAAATGTAGCTAAACTTCCAGACTATATCAGTATATGACCACTTGTCATCACATGACAGAAGTTCCACACAACTGTCTGACAACTGCCGAAAAGTGGCAAATGGACTTCGATATAAGCTTTTTTTGTTTTATTACCACGATTAAGAAGGAACTTTCACACCAAAATATAATTCCTAAAACAATCATATTATTAATTGTAACTGCAGTTTCCCACAGCTCTACAGAGTGTTTAGTCTCTGCTAGCTGTACCCTGCTCAGCACCAAACACCAAGCAAAGTTAGCAACTACGTAGTGAAGTGGAGCATTTAGCAGCTAAAGAAACAGATTTATTTCTCAGGGGTTGGTGGAGACCAAACCAGAGCTAAAAGGAGAGTGATTATTGGACTTACATATATCAGGTGGACATAAACACAACTCTTCTGCTGGTTGTGCAAGTAGGTAACTCTTTACTACAGCTACCATGTTACCTATAACGGTTTTATTTAGGCAGATAATACATAAGATGTTGTGTTGGTTCAATGGCTTAGCCCGCTAGCCATAAGGAATACTATTACTGCATTTCCCATGGTTGAAATGAGAATGCAGCAATATTATTCCTCCTATCAGGTATGGAAGACATAGTAAAGACCACCTAACATTGCAAAAAAGCTGAGAATTATTTTTGATATTCAAAAATAATAGAGTAGTTTTGAGCAGATTGTTGATAATCTTTTCCATTTCCCTGAAAACATCCCCTGAGTGGCTAATGGGCATCAGTGTTTTAGTGTTCTCTGAAGCTGATTATAGCTCAATAACATAATGCACTGATGAGGTGGTATTTACTGATTATAAGCACCTCCCTCCCCTGAGACAACTCCAGCACTGCTAAATTAGATTTTCACCACATCACATTTGCATTGCTTTAAAAATGCTTGTGTAATAGATCAAACAGATAATTGGGAAACATCTCCTAAGTGATTGTGTTCATGTGGGCTGACAGAATGAGGTAACAGATTTTATGGATGGACGAGTGTGCTTACAGGGCATGGAGAATGATAAAGGGGTTAGTGGCTTCCTGGAGGGGAATGGAGGGCATGGGGGAGGGGGTGTACAGCGATGAATAAGGCCCCAGAGACTTATGGCAGAATTGGAGGTTGCTTGTTTATAATGGCTGTGTTCCATATTAAAGAAAGAAAAACAGAAAACATATCATGACTTTGCATACAGATCGATCCATTATCCATCCATTAATTAGACATGTAGTTATAGACATGAAGTACATTAGACATGGCTTATACTTATAGATAGATATTCTATACACGGGTGATTAAAAGTCCTTCCCTGACCAAATGGGGAGAACTTTTTTCATTCAAATCCCTCTGACTGTTGTTGTCCTTTGGGACAAAAGACATCTCTGCCGTAGTCACAGCTGAAAAATAGTTGTTTGGTCTTTTCTGGTAGAACAGTGATAGGTGCTACTTCAAACAGACTGTTGAATGATTGTTCTGGAATGAAGAACTGAACAGATACCCTGGGGTGGGGGTTGGAAGTCATGGTCTCCCCTGGTGTCCCACAGTTGTCCTACATTTTCTTTACATGCTTTTTCATTTAGTTACTTTGATGCTTTATCTTTTGGACCTACTATTTTTCATTAATGTACCTATCTGAGGATGACGTCCCCATTTAGAGTCAACGCTGATTGGACAACCGGACATGGTTATCAAGTTCCAAGGCCAAGCAAGAAGATTGAAACATATTATGTCAGGCCCACTGCTTGCCCATCCATCACCTGCATCTTCACACCCTTGGTTTGCACTTCAATACATAAAGGGCACACTACTTCCTAGGTTTGCACTGAGCGTTGGCATTGGATGTAAATCATGAGGTGCATAATCTACAAAATTTCAATATAATTCTTCGGGAAACATGGCTGCAAAATCATATTTAAAACTAACAAGGCCACAGAACACAGTCATGTTGTAGCGCTTCTGAACATTTCCATTCAAAATATTAAGCCGAAACCACAGAGTACCATCAATAAACACAATAAAGAGGTCACTTTTCTGTACTTTGAACTAGCATTTTAGATACAGCAGTTGTACCAACACATTGGCTAAATGCCGGGTGATACGAGGCCAGCAGGAGGCAGGCAGGTGCATTAACATGTCAGCTGTTCAAAAAAAAAGCAGGACTTAGCTATACATTTTCTGCTGTTACTGAGCAGATGCCTACAGCCAGCTGTGGGTTACATCTGGGCAGAGAAAACTGAAGCATAGTGAGATGATTCTAGGATGAGCCAAAACTCTCTTGGTACCCAACAGGAAGCCTCTGTCGGGATCCCAGGAGTCCGGTGGGACCATCGGCCTCAGGGGCCTGTGTGATGAGGGTTAGTTTGGCAGTCAGAGGAAATTACTTATCGACTGTTTTTATGCAGCACCCTAATGCTAGTGTTGCTGAAAGGTTTATTTAATCAGTGCTGGATCTTAGAAGAGGAGAAGGGCAAACCATAGGGAACAACCCTGCATTCAGCGCCATTCTTTTGCTTAAAGACCTCAAAGACAATGGGAGGCTGTTGTCTTCATTTTCATTCTACTAATAAAGCTGCACTAATCAATCAATTAACAATGGATCAAATGACTATGGAATGCTCATAGTAAAAACCTTCCAGAAAATGAATATACTGTACACCGCCAAAGTTCCTCCCAGAGCCATTCAGCCTGGTTTAGCTCATTGTTTTGATTCTCAATTACCTTGTTTTTAGCAGACAAGGGAAGCTTGTTTAATGCAAAATTGATGTGCAATATCTGACCAGAAGCAAACGCCAGACAGACAAAGCAGTTAGCTGGGGAAACAGGCGGAGCATTAAGCAGAGAGACAGATATTTATCTCCGTGAGTTGGTGGGGAGCAAACAAGAGCTAAAAGGACAGTGAATATTTAGCTTATATCATCAGGTGCACAGAAATGCTACTCCTAATAAAAAAGTAATGTGGCTCCAGGTCTGCTGGATGTGTACATATTATAAAGGATAGGCCTTATTAGCCCCTTGTAATTTGGTCTTCAGTCGGTTTATTACAAAACCATTTGAGCTCAAACATTCAGGTGGTAATCTCTCAGTTATCAAGCTTATTTTTTTCACCTTGTCCTTTCCTAGCAAGCCCATCCCACCTCTTCCCTGCCAACCAACCAGCACATGACACCGAAGAGCGCTATACAGATATTAATAACGTATGTGTCAAGTTAAGGGACATTAATTTGTCAGTATTATCTGTAATTTGAAATATATCAGATCTTCTAGCTTCTATAAGATTTTTTGAAATGTGTTTCTAGCTAGTTTGGTATTTAAGAACCAACCCCCATATTCATTTATTTTCTCTACCAATTGCCTATCAATACCAAAGGAATTGATATTTGAGTAGAAGGGATCAACAAGGTACCATGGAAAATAAGAGGATGTTTGGTTGACCACCAAACAAACACACACACACAGACACACACACACCTATTTATATCTTCATTCCATGGACTGGCTCTGCTCCATGCAAGCATATTACAGAACAACATCTGACCCAACTTTGATAGCCAAAGCTTTGATATTTCAGTCTACCCCTCCACATGTAAGAGTGAGGGACAGCCACACATTCAAAATTAAGAAACCGAGAAAAAGAGGCAGTCTCAGTTAGTTATGGACCTGTTGGAGGAGGTAATCCCTTCTCTTTCCATTTGTACCTGTCTTTAGTCTTTGTTGGTGTTAGGTTGTTCAAATTTGGGCCTGACCTTTCCTCCCTCATCTCTTTCCAGAATGGTCTCAATGCACTGCACCTTGCAGCCAAGGAGGGCCATGTTGATCTGGTCCAGGAGCTTTTGGAGCAAGGTGCCGGAGTGGATTCGGCCACAAAGGTAGGTCATCTCAGCTTCAAACTGAGCAGACTTCAGTTCCTCAAAAGCAGGATTTATCCACGTGTCCTCGCAAAATAGCTGCTTCTAGAACCTTCGTGATGTAGTAGAGTTGCAAGGCAGCTAATAGATTTGTAGAGAGCATAATCTATGCTAAGGGGTCCTGAAGCTGCTCTGGAGGCTTGTGGTGAAACAACACCTTACTACTGTTGTTTTTTATATTCTTACTTTGTCACCTATCTGTGTTATTTTCATACTCAACTTTTAGCTGCCCTGCAGACATTGAATTCTTTAATGCTGAACATCATAACATATTAGACTAGTATATTGGCTCTGCAGGCGTACGGTTTTCGGTCGTTTGTGAGTGTGGATCTGTTTTTTCAAGGCTAATCTCTTATACTACTGGACCTATCAGCCTGATACATTGTGTGCTCATTTATGAGTGTATGCTAAAGGACCTCTCGTGATTTTTGCAACATTTTTTATTAACTGTTTTATACCATCATTGGCTGTTCTTAACCGGCCAGTAGGGGCCACAAGTGACCAACAACTGCTTCAGCAGCAAAAGGCTTTTCAGGTAATTGGATAGTCTAAAAGCAAGCCTTACCCAATCTGTTGCAGGTCACATTTTGTCTAAAACAGGGACTTCCATAGAAAAGTTTGGTCTCATTTTGAACCTGAGCATCTGCGGCATAATCCCATACCCAATATGTTAAACTCCACTAAAAAGATCACACTTTTGTTCTTTGTTCTTCGCTGCCATCTTGACTGTAACGAAGCGGGGAGCAACACTTTAGTGAAATCCACCTTTTTGGAAGGGGAGGAGGAGACACACCTGGCGGATATCTGCACACTACTGAGTGCAAGGAAATGCTTCTTCTCATTGTCCTTTTATATTTTCTATTAATCCAGAAAGGAAACACAGCACTTCACATATCCTCCCTAGCTGGTCAGGCTGAAGTAGTAAAGATCCTGGTCAAACGAGGAGCTGACATCAATTCACAGTCTCAGGTGAGCTTCTGTACTCTGCTGCTGAAGTCGTTTAATTCTGCTACCCTCTTGAGAGGCAATGGCAATATCATCTCCTGTATTACTCATTAATATCATGCTAGAGAGCAGTTGTTTTATTTTTGGCTGCATATGGTTGAGTAAATACTGTGTATGTTCATGACCTGTGGTTTATTGGTAACCTCTTGTATTTGCTTGTGTGCTGTAGAATGGATTCACTCCTCTGTACATGGCTGCCCAGGAGAATCACATGGATGTGGTGCGATACCTGCTTGAGAATGGAGGCAACCAGAGCACTGCGACTGAGGTGAGAGGAGTGTGTGTATTTAAGACGACAACATCAGACTATGACTTCACACATAGTCTGGCGACTTGCTAAGTGGAGAGCAGGGTCGTCCTTCAATCAGAGGATCGGCAGTTCGATTAAAATTTTGTGGCATTCATCCTGGAGATGTTGAGACATTCCACCCTGAAAAATGTCAGCATGCTAGTAGCGCCAGTGGAAACGTTATGGGACCACCAAGTCATTAGCACACTTCCTCTGGGAATCATGACGACGAATGACAAAATGTCATGGCTCATGAGTGGTCAGCCGAATCACCACCACCATCAGGAGATCAAAGTCATTTGGATTCATCCTCTGGGGATTACAAATGTCCGTACAAAATGTCATGGCAATCCATTTAGTATTGGTCAAGACATGTAAGTCCTGACCAAAGTGGTTGACTCACTGACTGCCGAACATTGACATGAGTGAGTCTTCCTGCACAGAGGTTTCATATTGAGAATTAACCATGGTTCAACCAGTACAGTCTCTTCTTGTCCTAGTAGGCTTCCAGTTTGCAGTATATGGAGGAAGTGTTGAGTTTTATTGATGGAAGCTTAGCAGTGATAGGAAAAGCTTCAGAGTAAAAATAAATGGTAATAATTAGAGAATTAAAACAGAATTTTCTGTTAAAAATATGAAGTGAGAACAATGCGAAATGGCAATCATATGGCTGTGATTGCCTGATGGAATCAATGCTGGGGAAATGGACATTATTGTGAATTAAACATATCAATCGTTAAAGGACAGGACCTGTAATTACAACCTCTTTATCGTTTTTTACCTGGCCTTGATTAGTGACTTTTTCTCTTCTTCCTATTATTTGAGATTTGGCCATTATTTGAAAACCAAATTTTTGTTGAGAATTTACTGCTTCAGCACTCATTGAATGTCTTTCATCCAAACAAGTCAGAATTTTGGAGATTATCTTTTAGAGTCCTTACTAAATGAGATGGAGCTAAACTTAACTTGTCTTCTTTCACCCAGGATGGTTTCACCCCTCTGGCCATTGCCCTCCAACAGGGCCACAACCAGGTGGTTTCTGTCCTACTGGAGAATGATACTAAAGGCAAGGTCCGCCTGCCTGCCTTGCACATTGCTGCACGCAAGGACGACACCAAGTCAGCCGCCCTGCTCCTCCAGAACGACCACAATGCTGATGTCCAGTCGAAGGTAAGCCCATAGCATCATTTGAGTTGGGGTAGGTTGGCATGTGTGGAAGTCAAGCTAATGTGGTGCTATTTGTTTGTGCCAATGTGTCCATACCGTGGTCATGAGGACTTTTATTAAATATATGAAATATGAGGCTGTGGTGGATTTTGATAGATGAGTAGGTGGAAAGCTGACAACATACAATTACATAGAAGGTGATTACATTCCAGTACTGTGGACGTCTCATGTGTAGGCTGAGCTGTAGTAATGACATTACTGCTGCTGATGACGTTAGAAGCCTCAATGATGAGGTTTCTACATATGTGATGTGTGTTTCTACGTATGGTTATGTTTTAAATACAGGGGGATGTTTCTATATAAGGCAAAGCTGTTCTGAAACACAGGGACTTTTTTGTGTTTGTGTCCAATTATGATATTTAAGCCCATGAAAAAGATTTACATTTGAAATGTTAAGATATCTTCTTGCATTATATTTTTGTCTCCATAGATGACTATAATTCTACCAACAGTACATTTGCTCTGTTTCACCCAGTTGGCGCTACATCTAAATGGGAATCCTATGGGTCCCGATGTGTCATCAGGAATGAGAGTTATCAGGAAAACCAAAACTTAGAAGTCACAGGAATGTATGCCAGTCTCGATAGGCCACCATCATGGTATCATTTTCCATGTCATTGTGGATAAGTTAGTTCAGTACAGCATTACTCAACATTAGGTACCTCCTAAGTCTCTTATTTGAGATGTCCTTGATCGCCATCTCAAAGCTCTTATTTCTGTTCTGAGGAACAAGGAGGGATCTCTGAGGAGCCATGAGAAAGGATACACGAGAGCAGAGAGGGTGACCTCTTGTGATTGATAATGACCATAAAGAGTAAAGGCAGATGTAGCTAGATGTTGTTGTAGCATCATAAAACCTATAGGGAGGAGTCTGAGGTGGAGGTCAACAAAGGCATGAGACTTAATTGTAACTGCCAACTAAGAGTCAAGAGGTGTTCAGTACATGTACGAACACGTCTTTAACACAGAAACTTCAAGCCGATCTGACTAAACTGAATCATGTTACTGACCGAAACAGTAGCTTTTAGCGGTGCAACAATCAGATAACAATCACAGCAGGTGTAAATCCTCCAATTTTATGAATATGATTTAGTGTATGATAGCAGACCACTAACTTGTCGTGATGTACTTTTGCCATGAAGCTGTATTCCTGTGTATAGAGTGTTTGTGTTTCCATCTGTGTGTCTGTGCATATCTCGCTTTCTCTCTTCCTCCTCGTTCAGTGTCTCTGTGCCTGCCACGTCCCTCCTGGTCCTGCCACTAACTGGGTCTCTCCCTCTTTAAATGCCACCTCTCACACACTTCCCCCATCACCCCCCTCCTACCTCGCTGCACCGGTGTCTAAGTGGAGCACTGTCCACTGCATGGAGTGTGCCACTGTCTGCAGGTTGCATGGTGGTGTTAATCAAGGCTGCATGCAACCAATGGGTGGGATCAATCTGGGGTCAATCCGGTAGTGGTGGGAAGTCAGTTACCTGTTGATGTAGGAACAAAGTGTTTCTCCGATAGTGGCTTTAAGTGACGTGGCTCGAGTGGAGATGATTTACTGCACAACTCAGTCGTTTATGCATCTTCCTGAATGTTCGGTATTGCTTCTACAGTTGCTACCGTATATTTCAACAAGGCACCAATTATGTTATGTAACAAAACACTGTGGAGGCAACTCGGGGAACATGCATGCGTTTAGTATAATTCCATATGTGGTTCAGCTGTTGCCTCCCTGCTCAATAAGACTCATTAGGAAAAGCCCAGAGAAGAACAGCTATAAACAGCAGCATGTACAGTCACAAACACATACAGTATGTAAACATGGAACACATATTTCTGTCACACACGGCACAGTTCTATTCAAAAACCAGTACAGTGACCGCCATCTGAACTGTCTGCTTACATGTCAGTTCAATAAACTAATAATCATATTGAAAAAGAAACCTTTCCTGTCAAAAAATCCTGTTTCAAGCAATTAAGGGCAATTTCACAAGCTATAGTCCAGCTGGCTGGTGCGGATCAGAGTAAAATCGATACGCTGGGGGGTGTTTACGAAGGAGTCTTACTTTATTTACTGTGAGCATGAATCCTTTCTCCTCCAGTTCATCAGAAATTACTTTATATACGTCACTATTTCTGTGGACTTTATTTAGAATATTCTGTCGGTTCTCTTCAGCCTGGATTTCAAACAAACATTGGACTTCTGTCCAAGTCAGGCCTATCCACTCATGTCAATCAATTGTAGTCATTTAATCACCTGCATTTTAGTTCACTTCCCTCAATTGGATCAGTTTAGGTTTTCACTGCAGTTGAACCACACTAGGATTCGCTTGGAAACGGTTCAACACAGCTTGGGAAAGGTTGTGACGGGGCATGATGGAGGACTCAAACGCAGACCAGAAGTAGAGTGAAGCAGGAATTTAATGAACACTTATATCAGAACATGAAACTTACAGGAACACAGTGAATCCACGGACGAGACAAGAGATGAGGGGAAAAATCCAGCAGAAAAGAGGCAGAACCGAGGCGGGGAGACAAGGGGAGACGACAATGATCTGGCAGTGAGTGACTGAGAGGCAGGGGTTTATATAGTGGCTGGTAGAGGCAGGTGAAGGGAGTTAGGCTGATGATGAGGGAGGCAGACAGGTGCACTGAATGAGCTGATAGGTGAGTGAGGTGAGTGAGAAATAAGAAGACAGGAGAGAAGGGGCAGAGCTGTGACAAAGGTGGCCGTTTTGGTCCACTCCAGAGTATGATCACTGAGTTCACAACTTCCCAAATGAACCGCACTAGAGTTTGAATCAAACAGGCTAAATATTGGTTTGTGAATGTTCCCAAAAACACTGTTCAATAAATTCTACTTATTACAACTATATTGCAAATAAGCATTTTGCACTATTCTTAAAAAATGTTGGACCAAACAATCATGACCAAATAATTGAAAATGGAAACATTCATTAGCTGCATCTCCACAAGACCTTAAGCTTTGACATATCACCTCTGTGTCAACAAGACATGTAGAGCACACGAAAGGGAAGTGAGCCACACCAGCCACGTCGCTTGCCAGCTTCATTTCAGCACAGCTGTGTTACAGTGCAGTAATGTGTTCAACCATCCTAACTGAACTGATCTTTCCCTCCCTCATTCCTGCTGCTTCAGATGATGGTCAATAGGACTACAGAGGTATACACATGCTCCTTTGATCTCCACAGCTTCACTTTACCGTTCCATCTTCTTATTTCACTGTTCTTTCCCTCCACCATTTATTTTATTTCACTTCACTGCATGGTGTATATAAAGAGCATTTGGTTTATTTTACAGTTTCTGTTGGTTTGTTATAATAAGAGGGTAACATGCACGGCCGACACGAATGGCCAAGCTACTGCCGTGTGTCCTGCGCTCGCACTGTCAGCAAATCTTTCATTTTCAGCTTTAGATCATTTATTCATTCTCTGTGAGCATTTTCATTGTTTTATCCCCAGTTTAAACTTTCTTTGTCACCAGTCAGGACGACCCTTTTGTTTCATATCTGACACCCACAATACATTAACGAACACCTCTAAACAACATCAGTAAGGTTTATTGATTTGTTTTTATTGATCACATTTCTATCCTGCAAGGTTTTGATTTGATGAATACTGTGCTGATGCATCTTTGTGAACAGCTATAAATGTATATTGTCCGCAAGTCTGTCTTGTAATTTTGTCTGTTCGTGTTGTGTTGCATGATTTCTAGGGATGCACTATGACCTTATTGAAAAAAAGTAAAATTAAATTTCCCATTTGTGTGCCCTTAAAAATGCTAAAACTCTGATTTGTATTTTCATATTCAAAATTTATAAATAGGCCACTGACAGAGCAAAAACTTTATTGATCAATAATTTTCACTGTACTACAAAGCATAACATTGCCAAGATAATATTACAATTCAAAGTAAAATGTATCTCTGTTTTCATTTTCCATTGAGCTGACAATGTGCAGTCTGTATAAATCCTGAAAATGCAAACATTTTCTTAAAATCTATAATTGAAATGTCCATTTTCTCACTTTGACAAGTATCATACAGGACGCAAGAGAAGATATTTCCATAATAACAATATTAGCTAAAAACTGGATATAATTCAAATTAAACTTGTATGGTTAAAATTGTTAGATTGCATATTGTCTGCAATTTTAAATATTGAAAATGATGCAGTTCACGCAAAGTCAATATGGCAGTGTTTGGCTTTTTATTTTCATGCTAATATCCATTGTGGCAGTCATTTTGGATTTTCAAACATGTTAAGTAATATGCAAATGTTTTTTCTAAAATCCTTAAAGCACACAAATAGAAACATTTAAATTGATTAAATCATTTAATTTGAATATTATCAATCCTGGTCCTCCAAACATGAAACTTCCTGTTCAAGTATTTTAAATGCATGCTTGTATGTAGATCTCCAAATTACTGGCATATGACTTTCTCTCTTTACCACTACAACAATACTAATGAATTATGAAATGGGAAACTTGTAAAGCTCTAAAGGTCTCACCTTCTTAGCCAAAGACTTGGCATTGTATAGCATGTTGCACCCGTGCTACCTTCATTTGCACCATTCTAAGCTTCTGACTGTGTAAAGTTTTTAAACCATCACGTTAGCCACTGTATTCTTCACACTTTTGTAAACAACTTTTTCACATTAAATCGGACCACACTTACAGAATGGCAAGGTAAGGCAAGAATCTCACAACTACTCCAACCTGCTCTGCAATCTCTAACTTTTCTCATATATTTCTCATTGCTAACTCTATTACTTCTATGACGTACAGTTGACATAGTGCACTTTGGTGTTGATCAGAAATGTTCCCTCGTTATGATTTTACTATCAGTATCATTTGGTGTTGTTTGGGGAGCTAATATTGTTTGTCCATCTTGATGACTCTGTATACTCTACATCTATTTGTTCTGCTTCACTTTTTGTTGTTTTCATTTCCAATCGTATTTTGCAGCCTCAGAAAGGCCTACTTTTACTTTTCTTTCTGTGTTTGATAACCTGCATGAAGAGACATTTCCGAGTGTGTTTTGGGGTTGTGTGTATGGGTGCTACAGATTCTGACTTGAACATTTTAAGAACGGATTTTTACTTTTTCCTGTGACTTTTTATTTCATTTTCTTTGCTCTCAGTTTAGTTTTTGTTCACCTGTGATGCTTGATGCGACTGCTGCATGCTGGGAAGACTAAAGATCAAGAGTCATGACTCAAAGTTCAAGGACATGAAGTAAAGGCTAATGTGTGACCTTTGTCCCCCACCCTGTGTGTTTTACTCTTTCCTGTCTGTCTTCCAGAGTGGATTCACCCCCCTTCATATCGCTGCCCACTATGGCAACGTCAATGTGGCCACACTTCTGCTGAACCGAGGGGCAGCAGTGGACTTCACGGCGAGGGTAGGGTTCCTCACTAATAAGCCCCGTTTTTTGGGCCTGATAAGGGCATGGAAATACAGTATCATTTCACTGGAACACTTCTGCACAGTATTGGGTTTAATTTCTAGCAAATCTGTGATTTTGGAAACCTATAGCATTTGCCTCTTTGTAGTTTGCGGGTTCATCTCTTGAATTTAATTTCTAGCCTTTCAGTGTTTTTTTTGTCCTTTTAATATCATCCAGAAAACAAATTCAGATGTGCTATTTTCAGCCATGCGAGCAGTATGGCTAAAAATAGCTTCTTTTTTTTCTCTAACATGGAGGCTGCAGAGATTTTAAATCGTATGTGGTTAAAAGGTTTGAGAGAATGCACTCGTCCTCTGTCTGTATGAGGCATGCAGCTTCCAGTTTGAGACACTTTCAGACTGGACTGGTTCAAGTATTGCTGAGAAAAAGTATTTTACAGTGTCAGTGTAGAGTGACAGTATTTCAAGGAAACAAGCAAACAGTGAATAGCAACTTAACATAGAATTGAAAAGCACAAGATAACATTTCGACGCAAATACATTTTTATTTTTAAATAAAATACATTTAAGAGTCTCAGTTGATTAGTCAGTTAATTGATGCAAGAAGTAAAAATCACATTACCTTTAAATTAGAGGCTAAATTATAAATTCAGGTTCGTCAATTGTTAAATTACGTTTGAATTTATTTGATTTTAATGGTGATTGTTTTATATATGATTTTATTCTCAAATATAACTACACTAATATTCATCCCTCATATACAAATATATGAGCGTAGATGCAATTTCCATATTAGTAACCTTTTAACAAATATTTTTAATGTGTCTTAACAAATGCCTGTAACTAAAAGTCCTTTTTCTCTCTGTAGAATGGGATTACTCCTCTACATGTGGCGTCCAAGCGTGGCAACACTAACATGGTTGGCCTGTTACTGGACCGTGGCTCTGAGATTGATGCTAAAACAAGGGTGAGTATCGTGCGAAGCCGAACTATAGTATTGTCATATTAGTTATGAAGGGTTAGCCCAAGGTAAGCCATTGACCTCAACAGACAAAAAAACTTGGTAAAAAAAGGAAAAATGATATTTGTAAAGTTAAATTACGGTTGTTGTTTAGCCTCTAGCCAAGTCAATGTTAGTATGTATGACTATTGATACGTTTGTGTGTTTGTGTGCCCTGTAGGATGGATTGACTCCCCTACACTGTGCGGCCCGGAGTGGACATGATACAGCTGTGGAGCTGCTGCTGGAAAGAGGAGCACCCTTGCTGGCCAGGACCAAGGTGTGTCACCTGTGTATTCACCTTTTATACACTTCAAGCATGTTTCTCACTTACCTTTTCAAACTGTGTCATATTTGTCGGTTAACAGATCACTAAGTAGTGAGTGTATACAGTCATCAGCTTCCTCAAAGTTACATTTCCTAACATGAGGTTCTCTACACCACATCGTCCAGTACACATTGTCAGAATGTGGTTCTTTAGGCTTTAAACCTCTTCATGGTGCGGTCAAGAACTGTTTTAAGGAACAGTTTGACATTTTGGGAGATGTAATTTACCCTTGTCAGATGAGAAGATTGACAGCAATTTCATCTTTTAAAGGATTCTTATTTATTAAACAGAAAAAGAGGTGTAACTATAAGACACTGTGCTTTGAAAGTAGTCTTTGGACCCACAACAGCATCCTGTTCATATACAGAAGTAAGGTTACTGTTGGAACTCCACTGTGAACTCCTGCATGTATTGATTATTGTTAGCATTGTGCTCGCTAGCAGGATACAACATATAAATAGGATAACTTTTGAGTTTTTGACAGGTATATTTTTGCACCTTTGACATAGCTAACAGCTCAGTTCCTTTTTGTTTCCCTGCTATCAGTCTATTGATTTAGGCTAAAAAATACCCAATACCCATAGTAGCTGTATTTTTATCAATGTTCTGATTCTGGGTACGACTGCATTTTAAGTGTGTAATGCTTAATTTCAGCAGTATTAGAATAAAAACAAACCATCTCAAATATGAATTAATTCAATGTAAACATCCCAGACACATTTGACATATTATGGCCTTATATAGATTAATCGCTAACATGTTAGCAAGCATTTGCCTATTTACACAGCCAGCAGACACAGAGCAACATTGACTTTCATTTGAAGTTGTGCTTGTGTCTAATATTGACTTTTCTATCTGCTCTGTTTTAATTTCTATCCGTCTCCTTCAAAGTAAATGAGCCCTCTTTCACATTTTAGAACGGGCTGTCTCCTCTTCACATGGCGGCACAAGGCGACCATGTTGAATGCGTCAAACACCTTCTGCAGCACAAGGCTCCCGTTGACGATGTCACGCTGGACTACCTGACAGCGTTACATGTGGCAGCTCACTGCGGTCACTACAGAGTCACCAAACTGCTGCTGGACAAGAGGGCCAACCCCAACGCAAGGGCTCTGGTATGAAACAAAGATATTATGGAACTGTAACAATCCTCCTATGGAAAGATCAAGATAAGGACTGAACAGGCTCTGGTGACTATCATTCAGCTCCGTTGAATATTGTCTGGGTTCATCCTTTACTGTGTTTGTGTGTGTGTGACAGAACGGCTTCACTCCGCTGCACATAGCCTGTAAGAAGAACCGAGTGAAAGTGATGGAGCTGCTGGTCAAATATGGAGCCTCTATCCAGGCCATTACAGAGGTACGTCACTCACCTGAGTGAAAGTGAATGTTTCTCTGAACCTACTGGTACTACCTGATGGGCCAGGGTCTGTTTGGTGTCATACGTCTGGCTTTACCTCACATCATACCAAAGAGGAGTTCTAGATAGTCCTGAAGTTCCCAACTTTTTATTTTGATATTAAGAATAAACTTAAACATAGAATAAATATTGATATATATATAATATGGACTCACACCTTTTTCAACCTTTTTGACAAGAAGCTTTGAAGTCGTACTGCTAAACTTGCCTGCAGCTAACATTAGAAGACAAACTTATTCAGTAAACTATGTACATTTCACTGAACAGCAGCCACTGTGAGATATATTTATGGGGTAATGTTAATTGCTTAAACAAAGAGTAGCACAAATAGTCATCACGTTGACTCAGTACCGTCCTTTACACAGCAATATAACATTAGCTAACATTAGCCACCATAAGCTTCCGCCATACCAGACCAAAAAAGGCTGAGGCAGCAAAACCACTGAGTGTACTGAATTTAGTAAAGGTTAGTTTTATCACTAATGAGTTCAATCTTTAGCTTGTAAGAGGGAAAATGTGTCACTTCTTCTTCCAAATGAGTCACAACTACCACAACTGCATTTCCTTCTGTTCTATTTCTATACAAATGAGATGGCATATTAAAGCAGATATAAAATCATGTAATTATAGTATAGTATTTTATGTATTGGACTGTTTAACTGATGGACTATATTACTCAATACATATTGTTTTTTAGTTAATAATATTATGATATCTTGATTCAATAATTTAACTGTTCATATATTCAACAGTTTTCTTTCTTTTTTTTGGTTATATTTAGGCATACTCAGAACCTTTAATTTAAAACTTTTTGTATGTATTATTTAAGTTCTTCTTTGTTTGATGCAAACATATGCATAGTACAGTATGGATGGCAATGTGACATTGCAGAAATGAAAGAAAAGTACAGTCTAAGCAATTGGAAAACATTTGTGCACCCCTGAATAAAAATCCATACCTAAAAACGGACTGGTCACCTAAAAATTGTGTTCCCATACAACAAGAGTGTAATGTCAATTACGTTTCGAGGGAAACATATTTATTCCCAGATTTTGTTTTTGAGATACCACAAATATGTTTGTAATCATAGTTTGCGGACATCCACGTACAAACAAAAGCAGGACTTTCACCCAGGAGACCTCTGTTGGTGTCCAAACAAACAAACAGCCTTTTTTTAATCCAAACAATGATGTTTTACTAAAACTAACCAGGTAGTTTTGTTGTGTTTTTGTTTTACCTTATTTCAATTTACTACGTTAACCACGTGTTTAAAACGGTGATTGTAATCAGGGAGAAAATACCTTTCCCTCGGAATGTTATTGAGAAATTTGTTTAGTTGTCGGGAACAGGATTTTGTAGGAGACAGAATTGCAAATGTCAGTCAGTTCCTTTATTTTGTACGTTAGTAGTGGAACACTGTTTCCTACTAAGTGTCGCCAACGCTGCTCTAGGGAAAGTAGCTGGTCAGAAATCACCAAAAATTGCCAGATGACATCATGATGACATCATGTACTTAGTTTGATGAGCTCTTCTTGAGTAACAGATGTATGTTCAACATGACTGACTTGTCCTATTGGTCCTCTTTTGCTTCCCTTCCTGTGTCCAGTCTGGTTTGACTCCCATCCACGTAGCAGCCTTCATGGGTCACCTGAACATCGTCCTGCTGCTGCTGCAGAACGGAGCCTCACCCGACGTCAGCAATATTGTGAGTGAAAGTCATTTGTGATTTAGTTAATTTTAAGTGAGAATAGTGACTAGAAATAATACAGTGACCGGTCAGCTGGTTTTATTATGTTTAAATATGTGTGAATTGACCCTGCTGACCTGTATGTTGTGTGTACAGCGTGGGGAAACAGCGTTACACATGGCAGCCAGGGCAGGTCAGGTGGAGGTGGTCAGATGTCTGCTGAGGAACGGAGCAATGGTGGACGCCAGGGCACGGGTGAGACTGCTGTTATCTATAGCAGCACACCAGGGAACAGGTGTACTTTAGGGTTTTGCCACCATGCAGGATCAGAATCAAGTGTTTATTTTTCTTCAGGAGGATCAGACTCCCCTCCACATTGCGTCCCGTCTGGGAAAAACAGAGATTGTGCAGCTGTTGCTGCAACACATGGCCCATCCGGACGCTGCCACAACCAACGGCTACACCCCCCTCCACATCTCTGCTAGGGAGGGCCAGGTGGAGACCGCCTCTGTCCTGCTAGAGGCCGGAGCTTCACACTCACTGGCCACCAAGGTGGGTTGAGGAGACATGATTTGTCTTTTAATCTGGCTACTTTTCCCTCCAGCTAAGTCCTAGAAGCATTCCAAGAGTAGTCAGCAGGGCTCAATACTGACTTGTAAAAGTGGTTGACACATCAGCTTTTGGTTTGCTGGAACTAAAAATATGATGCCATTTTTTGTCACCTGATATTTTGAGTAATTAAGATACTTTACAGTTACAAACAACTTAATTTGCTTTGCCATTGTCTTTAAAACAGATGCCTTTGTGCACGTGAGTAAACAAATCAGCTCACGTGTATCAATGTCTGTTTCTGTTTCTGACTGTAACAGCAATGTTTAAATCACTGATACAACAAATATTAAATATGAATGTATTTTGGGGTGCAGGTTTTGCTTTTTGCTTTTCCTATTTTCACATGTTAGAAGTGGTTTGCACTGATGGCAGCCAAAGGACAAGGATTAGTTGCCAATTTTTGAAATGGTTGCCAATAGGAACCTGGCAACCCTTACTGTCTGTCCCTGATTGAGGATTTCATTATTTCATGGAATGACGTCAAAGACCAAATGCCTCCCAGCCATGTGGGGAATACACTTTTGATGAGAAAATGAATATCAATCTAGCTGTAGTCAGGACACTGTTAGCCTGGCTCAGATAGTAAAGCAGGTACAGTATTACTGTATGTGCAGGTCTCTGTCTGACCCACTTGAATAATTGACGATGCTGTGAATCTTTCCTCTGAAGCCTGAACGCAGATGTATCATCATCACTGTGGAGGTGTTCACCAGAAGAAGCCGCTGAGGCACTTTGCATCCAGACAAATTAGTCCTTTAATGTATTCATACGCCATGAAGGGTGAGACAAAGCTCTCTGTGATGCAGTGTGTTCGTTAGGGTTCAGTGGTTATCCTCTCTCCCACCCTTGATGTCTCTCTCTTGGTTTCCCTCTGGGGAAGAAGGGTGTGGCTGTTGCTACGGAAACAAAATCAGGAAAAGTTGTTTTCATGCAAGGATAACGCTCTCCATCCATCCAAGCATGTTCATAATCGTCCTTATCCTTGATTTGCGAAGGGTTGTTTTGTCCAATCACCTATTACATCAGATATAATCCAGGGTTTGACAAACAAAGGATTGTTGCATCCATGGGCAGGGCTTGGTCATAAAAACACTGATCATGTGGTTTCTGTCAGCTCCAGACTAGTCATACTATTTAGTTAAAGGGCCCCCTCTGCTGGATTCATTGTGAAAGGATTATATTTCATATTTTTGGTTAAGGTTACCGAGAGTTGCATCAGCATGTCAGTCGGCTGGGTGTTCTTTCTATTGTTTTATGTCACTAACAAAACAGACACCCATTGTCCCTCAAGGAATCATATCTGATGAGAATTGACTTTTATTTTGTATCTAAAAATATTTTGTCAATATGTAAAACATTCTAGTCTGGTGGACTATTTCCCATGTTGCTGAACAACGTAGGGCCATGCCATATACAATGGTCCAACTTATGGATATATGTAGATGTAAATCTAAAAAATATAAAAGGGAGGGGACATAGTTATATTATAATAACAAATTCAAATGAAATAAATAAATAAATAATTTGCTTGTGTCTTACGGTATTGAAATAATATGAATATTTATGTAGAGAGAGATCATATAATAACACTAATAACAGAAATGTATGTCTGACCTGAGATGATATCCTGTATTTACTGTCTTTAAACTTTGATCTCCTTTCTCTGGCTCTTCCCTCCACAGAAAGGTTTTACTCCCCTGCATGTATCCTCCAAGTACGGAAGCCTAGATGTAGCCAAACTTCTGCTGCAGCGTCAAGCTCCACCTGATTTTGCTGGAAAAGTAAGCATTCAAAATATAAACCATCTTAATCTTTATAGTTTTTGGAGTACAATCTATGAGATGTTGCTTATGATGTAAAATATAATTAAAAATATGCCCACTCTCTAAATGTTTTGGTGAATCCTTTTTGTGCCTGTCAATTTAAAATGTTTTTTAATCTAAAACGGGTTTTGCAATTTTTCTGTATTGAGGTTAAGTTGACTACAAGAGCAGTGGTAAGCCTAGTTTCAATAAAGCCATTCCCTCATTTGGATTAACTGTGCTAAATTCCAGAAAACATACAACAGATAACAGAAGCCTGTTTACTTCAAAATCCCTTTGATCCTTTCAGCTTTTGCTGTCCAATATATCTTTAATTCATCTCAACCTGCAGTCTAACCCCCTTTAACAAGTCCTCTTAACTGTGTGTGGGTTAATGTCTTGGTGCTGCACTAACTGCTGTCTAAACCTTGTGCGCTCACCATCCATCCCTCATAGAATGGCCTCACCCCGCTACATGTCGCAGCACATTACGATAACCAGAAGGTGGCGCTCCTGCTTTTGGACAAAGGAGCGTCCCCCCACACCATGGCCAAGGTGAGAGTCCACAGTAAAGAGCTGACTCTGATACAAATAATTGTCAAGTGTAAGATGTGTGAAGCAGTGGACAGTTTAGCATGAAGGTACAAATGGGATGGTCCAATCGGACCATGCGTAACGTGCCATCATAAACATCATAAACATACTGTTGAAACCAGTAGAAATCTTTCCAGCGGTAGCAGTCGAACAGATGGAATCCACTAGGAAAAGGTCTCTAACCTTTAGGCCACTGCTGAAAACAAAAGCTTGACTGATGTTTTATCTCCTGATATTGAAGCTTGGTGTTGAAAGTAGTAGACAGGACGATATCAAGCCGAACTTAAAATGCAAAACAGCCATTTTATATTTTGAGTCAACAATTGTCTCTTTTGTTTTTAATTAAGACACCTCAAACCAATGGTAAATGAGGCAACATGGAATTCTTGACTGTTATCTTCTTTTAGCTCCCAGTGAAATTGACTGTTTCGAAGTCATTATTATGTTTATTTTTATTTTTTTGCTTTACAAATATACCGTAGTTTCATTTTTGATAAGGCTTATTTCCTGAAACAGCTCACTGTAGTCTTTAACAAACGTTACTCAACCAGGAGAAAATGGTGTATTTGTTGGGGACTATTTTGAGCTGAGGATTAACACACATTTGGTGCTGTAGTGAGTATTTTGGAGCAGCAGGTGGGTGTTTGTGGGATTGAGTCCAAATAAACTACAGCGTGTGTGTTCATGATGATGATGCAACATGTCACCCAGTCCAACAGTGTGGCTCACTGGTTTGTTTTAATAACAATGGAGCTCTACGGCACACAGGAAGAAGAGATATCAGGCTTTGATACACACAATGCTTGGTGGTTTGCCTGTACACATGAGATTTGTTGACATTGAATATATAGCCAGCCTTGTCCTCTAATACTCGTCAAATCACCTGGTAAGATGTGTATGTTAGTAGTGTGCTACTAACATTCTGAAAACATATTCATTATATTTGGCATAAAACATTTGAGATTATTTTACAACATTAGAGGATAACCTGAAGTGACACCAAGGCTGTCAAGGTTAGTTCCTAAAAAGCGTGTTGTTATGTGAGGCTTTCAGCCGACGAGTCAGCAGTCTCAGTTATCGCTCTGCAGTGACACCAGTTTCTCTCATGAACCAGAATGGCTACACTCCGCTCCACATCGCCGCAAAGAAGGACCAGATGGAGATCGCCACGGTGCTGCTGCAGTACGGAGCCGAGACCAACAACCTGACCAAGCAGGGTGTCACTCCGCTCCATCTGGCCTCCCAGGAGGGCCACGCTGACATGGCTGCCCTGCTCATGAGCAAGGAAGCTCAGGTCAACGTCCAAACTAAGGTACTGTGGAGTAATACAGCAACAAATCCTCAACGCAAGACAACAACATCACAAGTAGAATTACCATAAACAGTCTTTTTGGTTAAGTATTTCTTAATTTGAGGAACAACCCATTAATTATACCTCTAGTATCATATTGTGTGAGAGGCTATAAATCATTTCACTTCTGCTGTTGTGCCTTGTTACAGTTACAGTTACAGTAACACTATTAAATCTCTTGGGAAATCAGAAAGTCTGAGTAAATGACAGAACATTTACATACTGCCATCTAGGTTTGTCTTTAATCACCCTGTCAATGATGAAATAATGTGAAGACAAAGTCTATCTTCTTCACAGTGTCAACGTAGCCACATTAGCTCATTTGACTGGACAGAATGTGGTCTGAATGTGTCTGTTGTAACACTGTAAGTGTTCTGTGTGTGTTCCTCATGCAGAGCGGCCTGACTGCCCTCCATCTGGCGGCCCAGGAGGATAAAGTGGCTGTTGGCGAGATCCTATCCAAACACGGAGCCAACCTCGACCAGCAGACCAAAGTAGGAACATACTTTTTCCATTTTCTGTGTTTATCCTCACACCTCCTGTCTGGTTATAGGATGATATCATTCAGTCTCCCGTTCAGCTGAAATCTCCGTCCTCAATAACAGTATTCTCACAATGTTTCCTGTTGTTTTGCAGTTGGGATACACCCCGCTAATTGTAGCATGTCACTATGGTAATGCCAAGATGGTCAACTTCCTGCTTCAGAATGGAGCAAATGTCAATGCCAAAACCAAGGTACTGAAACTAAAGTAAAGCTCTCAGATACCATTTTTAACATTCATTATTTAATATTCATGCTTTTATTATATAATCATCACTACTATTATCATTTCTAACATGCTTTTTTTTAAGTCAATGAGAACATTTTCTCATTAGACCAAAATATTTTAAACATTATAACAATATATTTTCATGTTATTTATATCTACTCACAACATATTTTTTTTTGATAAACAAAACATCATTTTATTTAAAAAAAATTGTCTAGTTATTACACAACACATATGTAGCTTGTTAAAATGTGAAACTTCTACTTTAACTTCATTCCAACTTTTCTCGTTAAAACTTTATATTCTCTTCTAGTTAGAAGTCGGTAACTTATTTATATCAGAGACACACATTTTGTGAGGTTCATTTTATTTCACCCACAAACCATTTCTCATCAGCTGCCTGAATGTTAAAGACCTTTTTGAATGAAAGCAAACTTTGAATAATCTATTTATTTAACGATTTTCTTTCCTTTCCAGAATGGATACACTCCCCTTCACCAGGCAGCCCAGCAAGGAAACACACACATCATTAACGTACTACTGCAAAACGGTGCCAAGCCCAACGCTGTCACTGTGGTATGTGAACAGCCACAGAACACACGCACACACACACACACACTTTAAAGTACAAAGACACACAACTCATCCACTGTGCTTCCTCGTCCAGAATGGTAACACTGCCCTGGGTATCGCTCGGAGGCTGGGCTACATATCTGTGGTGGATACGCTGAGAGTCGTCACTGAGGAGATCATTACCACCACAACGGTACGCCACATTATCAACATTATAACATTATAATCTAAAGTTCTAGGTTGTGTTATAGACGGCAAGAATCTGTGCTGGATTGGACATTTGTATTGGTGGAAACCCTAAATTAGTATTTTTAATTAGATTTTTAATATAATGAACCATCAAATGATTATTATTGCACACATAATGCGTTTAGAGCCCAGTGATCACTGTTGCAGCATAAAACACATGTCATTAGAGCAACTATATGCTTTGAAAGAAGAAGAAGAATACATTTTTCCACTTACAAATTAAAGGTATCATTCATAAGCAATAAAACACACCCTGACTTAATACATATGTGGTTGCTATACAAAACCTTAAAGAGCTTAAGCTTGAAATTGCTTCCCTTATTACAATTAGCTGTCTCTAGTACGTTGTCCACCCGGTCTATATCAATGAGGGTAAGTATTAAAACCTCTTCTCAGTATAATGCAGTATAATATCCATAATGACAAATCAGTTGAATCAACACGTCTCTGAAACAGTTTCAACGAACACTGAACACCTTCAAGAAATTGAGGATTTATTGCAGATCTATTGTGTTACACTACAGCTAGGTTTCAGCTAGGTTTACTACCAGGTGTGAAATAGAGTTAATGGGATCCCTTTCCTCCCATGCTGCCAGACCGTGACGGAAAAACACAAGCTGAACGTGCCAGAGACCATGACTGAAGTGCTGGATGTCTCGGATGAAGAGGGTGAGTCATGTTGTACATTGGAGCCTGTCAACATCAACCCACAGTGGAGTCCCCCTAAAGGAAAGAGATCCGTCAGTGGTATTCTGACCAAGTGTCCCAACAACGCTGTGATGAGTCACTGAACTACATCTACTGTTTGTCCCACAGCAAAGATCTGTTTGTGTTCTTGACTTTGTGGTTGAAACCAAATGAGCTTACTGGTTACTTGGTGTCCCTGCTAGTAAGTAAATGTTAGGGTTTCCATTACTGTAAGTAGGGAACTTTATACATCTGTAAAATGACCAATGTTCTCTTTTCATTGGTTTATTGGTCAAATTTCCCAGTCTGAACATTGGATTTGTCAGGTGGCCATTAGAACAACTCCAAATATATTCTAGTGTAACTCCATGTCTGATAGATGCATTAATAGGTTAGTTGTTGCTAATGCAATGTTAATGTTAGCAATTACAGTGTTAATGTGTCACATATTGTGTTCACAGCCTGTTCTGCTGCCCGCAAGTGGGCAACAAAGATGAATTGATTAATGCAGATTTAAGGAGATTGCTAACCAAACTAGTACTGTAACTTCGATTAGCTCACAACACAGACTGCGCAACAAGACATTTAACTGGTCTACATTCATTCCCATCTTTAAACCTTTAATTTCATGTCAAATTTTGCAGGAATTGTCAATACGGAATATCTGCTATTGACATCAATAACAGTTTAATAACCTAAATTAGATTTAGCCCAATTCTATTTCAAGCCCAAATTGTGTTTCAGTTCAGAGATCTTTTCTGCCATGAGCAGATTTAAGGAAGTAGTGAGTGACTATGCTGTCAGCCCACAGCATTGAAAACCATTGATGATGATGTTATGTCAGACGACCCCATGGACGAGGAAGGTACTCAGCACGGTGCTTTGTGTGAGGAGTGGGGGAGTGTGTAATGCATGGTGAAGGAGCCTGTACCACCTGCTGTTTGGTTAAATGCTGCAATACTAAACTGTAGTGTGGTATGTGGAGACTAGTGACACAGAGAGAACGTGCTTGAAGTTGACCTGAGCCACAACGATTTCTCTTGTGAGGGTCCTCTTATTAGAAGTCTCATAGCGTCAATACACATGAAAACACAACTAACACAGGGAGACAGGGCTAACCACTGCACCACCGTGCTGCCCGTATTTAAAATAGAAATGTAAAAACACAACAATGTGTGGTTTAAAGGGGAGTTACAGTACATGAAGAGAGCCAGGCTTTCTGTATCCTCCGGTCTTAATGCTAAGCTAGACTCATTGCCTGCCAACTACAGCGCCATACATAATGTACAAATATGAAAGTGGTATCTATTTTTTTTGTCTACCTTTCTGGATGAAAGCAAATCAACTTTATTTCAAAATATTCAGAATTGAACTGTATGTTTTTTCCGAAAATGTTTGTTCTCCAGAGAAGTTCAGGGCAAACAGATTGAAAATACTTCTTGTCACTTCAAAGCTTATATCCAACACCACAATGAAACATTATAATATTCTGACTCCCTGGAATGCTGCTAAAACAATTCCCACCTCAACACGGCCTTTTGCATCTCAAGTGGGTGTTAGCATTAGTATTACTATTCATTTGATGTAATTGCCCAAAGATGTAGATTCAGGGCAGCTTTGGAATCAGAGTGAGTATAGGAATAATTAGTGGGTTGTATGTTTTTTTTATCATTTCAAATACAACAGTGACCCACATTAAGAAGAATATTAAAGAGTAGTAGTGAAACTCACTCAATGCCCGAAATGCCTTCAACTAAACATGAACATGATAACTCACAGTATGATGTCTTTCATTTTTAAAATATAATCGCTGACAAGGCTGAATTTATCCAATATAATAATGACTATAATAAATAATAATGACGAAATGCTGTGAGCCCCAGGCCGCAATTTAATGTCTATGTTCATGTCACTCAATGATAACACTCACCCAAAAACCTGGAGTGTTGCTTTCATCTGTTTGTTTTGTTTTCATTCACCTCCACCCTTCCCTTTTCTCTCCCAAGGTGATGACACGATGACCGGTGACGGAGGGGAGTATCTGAGGGCCGAGGACCTCAGGGAGCTAGGAGATGACTCCCTTCCAGGACAGTATCTGGACGGAATGAACTACCTCCGCTTCAGCCTGGAGGGGGGGCGCACTGACAGGTACATCAAACTCTGTCACATGTTTAACTTTACCAACAAGCAGCTCACACAATTTGACTGGGGCTCAGAGTCGCTTTGGTGAACCAACTGACTAAAACTATGTCTGGAAGTGAGGAACTTATTCTTACATAGGTTGCATCTGACCCAGCAAATGTTTACGCTCGTCTGCTTCATGCACTAACAAATGCTCATCTGCTCCATGGAGCAAACAATTGTTCCTTGTGTTCCAAACACTGTTTAAAAGCAGTAAATTAAGCTGTTGTTCTCATTTTAAAACACTCTGACGGCCCGCCCGCGGGCCGTCAGAGTGTTAAGTGTAGATTTGTGTCATGTACACAACTGCTCTGTAAAGATGAGTATTAATGTGATATCTCATTAGAAAGCTACGGTTCTTGTAATTCGATTTATGCAAACCATTTCAAGATACAATAACAACAGCAGGTATAACATCTCTGTCAAACAAGCACTCCAAAAATAGCCGATAAAATATCGCCGTGACTCACCGATTATGATTCATAACGTCTCCCTCGTTCATGCTAGTCCAGCAAAAACGGAATTGCTAGGTGGCTAAGGGTCCACACGATCCAATCCAGTAAAAGATTTAGTCCAAAACACATTAGTACATCCATAAAGACCCACGGGGGGCTGTTGCATCATTTCAAATTAGCCAGCAGATATCATAATTCGGTCATAATTTCACTTTTCATGTCAACAGAGTGGAGATTTTCATCGCAAAATGGAGGCTGCATTCCGCCGGTTAGATTGACACCTCATTTGACCCAATAGGAGCTTCTATAGCCCGGTCACATTCTGGAACAGCCAACGAGAGTCCGCTTTGAAAGACAATGCCCGCCTCTCTTCTTTGAGTAAACTCGAGCCAATCGCAACAGATTCCATTGAATCTCAGGCTCCATATAGCCAATGAAATTACGAAGAGAAGGATATGCAGATTCAGCAGATTGCACCCTGGGAAAGTTTTCAAAACTGAAATTCAATACCGTGAGTCAAGTACCTGAGACCGATTATCTAGAGCAAAGTCTGGTTCATGGGAATTTTCAAGAATCTGTGAAAGTTGATAATGGTTAAATATGTTATAGTTAACCATACATCAACATAAATAAACTGTAGTTTCAATTTCGGACACATAGTTTATTGTAGTATATGGATTTTGATGTGGTGACAGCCAGCCTCCAAATGTGTTTTTATGCAGCTGCACTCTTAGTAAGCCACATGTAAAATATAAATTTTCTGTGGTATTGTTATCAAATTCTAACTTCTACCAGGTACCATGACTCCATGCTGTCGTCGCAGTGTATTTTCCAGCTCATAAGTCCCAGCCATAGATAACTGCTGCCATCTGTTGGCCAAAACAAATCCAGGCGGAAATAAAAACCTTCTTTTTCAGTGTGTTGTAAACTCCATAGCTCAATGCTAGTAGCACTTACAGTGATTCTGACTGATTGTGAAGAAACTTCAGAGTGTTACCGTTCAATAGAGACTAAAACCACACATGTACTCCCAATGGTTCAATAAGAGCTGTCAGTTTACTTTGGGTACGCCTTGGATAGGCGTTTTAGGCAAATTTTACAGAAGTGGTAAGAGGTTCCTCTTTGTGATACGTAAAATCCACTTTTGACCCTGTTCTAATGCAATTATTGATATTTGCTGTATATGGTTGATCTAACTTTATCATCACCATTCCTCTTGAGGACAAAAACTCACAAACTGCCTGTATTTGTATGTGTGTGTGTGTGTATGTGTATTTATGTGTTTTGCAACCTCTCCTGCTCATACTTCATCATTGGTCTTCCTTGTCATGCCTTCATAGTCGAATGCAAAGGTATGTGTTGACGCTGGCCTTCATCTTCATCAGTCTGTCTCCCTTTAGCTGGATATTGCACTTATTTTAGGAGTGAATGAAATTAGATAGTTATTTAAATCACATCTTTGTGTTTCGTAAGTGTTGGTTGGTATTCTGTTCACCACTTTGGCCCATCCATTCATGGTCCCCAGAGGATGAGTACTAATGACTTTGGTAATCTCCGTGTTTGTTTTTTATCTGCTCCATCATCAGGTCGAAACTTATTGACTTTGGTTTATAACCAAATACTTAATAGCATTCCCATCAGCTTCAACTATAGTTTAGGTTAACTGATAATTTGCAAAATGGTAAACATTATAGCTGCTTAAAATCAGCTGTTAGCATAGCCAGTGTGAGCATGTTAGCATGTTTGTATTCAGTTTTGTTTGAAGTATTACTGTACAACCTTACAGTAGTACTCACCTGCTAGTGTGACTTTAGACTCTTAGTCTTTCTAGATTAGCGCTGTTAAGCTAGTAAAATGTAAAACGTGTGTGAGACAATGCTAGCCTAGATGCAGTTAATATTCTTATTTTGTTCTTGTTCTTGTTAAGAAAACACTAATGCGAAACCTTTAAGAAAACACTAATGCGAAACCTTTAAGAAAACACTAATGCGAAACCTAGTTGTTGTTTCACCATCAACATTTAAACTTAACTGTCCATTCCTTAAATTACATTCATACGAGTCATGAGCTCTAGGGTATGAAATGACCTAACTCTTGTCCACATCAACTGATTCTGACAGTTTTTCATATGAACATGTAACCCTGTTTGTGGGATTGAATGAAAGTGTACTTTTCCTTGTAGTTGTCATTCATTTTGCACCCGCTGTGATCTCTTCTATTGTCTTGACCAACGAGCTTCACTGGCTTCTATGCTTTTTTTCTTCTCTGCTATAGTTCAGACAGGTCCTTCACACCCACCCACCACAGCTACTACTCCCCTAAACATGAAGGCATCATAGATGAGATGCTCACCGGTCACCAGGTAAAGTACATGGTTAATTATAGTCACAGCCATTGCAGGTGAAACAGAGTTTTTTCTATTTTGTAATATCTAATATTTTGTACAAGTACTATACTTAAGCACTACAATATACTTCTGCTCCACTACAGTTCAGACTGAAATATAGACTTGTAATATAAATAAACTAGATTTAATAGTTACCAATTAATCTGAAGATGAAAATGTTACATTAAAAACAAAAAATAAAATAAACTATTTTAGATCAAACTACGAACAGTATATGAAGCCATTGAATTTAGCTGCAACATTCAAGTTCTACTACATGTTAGTGCATCAATAATAATGATCTAATAATATCCAAATATGATCTAATAACACTGATAGGGGCCATACTACATAATACGTACTTTAAGTTTGAACATTTTAGTATATTTGTTACAAATAGTGCAATACTTTAACTATTTTCTTTCTGGTAATGGAGTATTGGAGTAGGTGTAACTGCAACTTGACTCACTCACTCACTCACTCACCACTCACCCACTCACTCACTCACTCACTCACTCACACGCAACCAATCTCATGATGCTACTGGCAGAGTTAACTACTCTATGTTGATTATAGTTTAAGGGGAACAGTGGTGATTTAGTTTTCAACTTCCATGAATGGCAAGTAAAGTATAATAATATACGTATTATCTTTAGTTCATAATGCTACATACAATAACTTCTGTTATATGTCTGATAAGAGGTTCTTTGTTTGACTCCAGGTCTCGTCACTTGCCAGGGAGTGTGAGAGGGATTCGTATCGTCTGAGTTGGGGCACCGAGAACCTGGATAATGTGGCTTTATCCTCCAGCCCCATTCACTCTGGGTAGGTACTGTCAGATCTGGAGCAAATCATTGTATCATAAACATTGCACATTTTACACTCATATTGAACACAAATGTGGTAAAATGTTGATGAATTTTTTTTGGAAAATACAATTGAAATAATACCAATCACACCTCAAAAAAAAAAGAACTGATTTCTGGGGGCTCAAAATTACACAAATATTGTTTTTTCTGAAAGTTTAATGGCTTGTAAAATATATAAATGCATACATGCTTTGTTCTTCTTTCCCAATGATTTCCATTTTATAAAAAGGAATACATTTAGTAACTAATGTTTTATTAACAATTGAGAAGTTCATCCCAGATCACAGGCTGCTTGGCGAAGTGGGATTCCTGTTGTGAAATGTGGCCTCGCTCAATCTTTGAGCATCAGTCTGGTCCTCAATACAAATATATATTCTTGATATCCGGAGTGAAAAAAAATCCAAACTAAATAGTTAAAGACAGTTCAATATTTTGGGAAATACACTTATTAGGAAGCAGAAGTCAGGATGAAATTATTTTAGCTTAGCATAAAGACAGGGGTAAACAGCTAACCAGGCTCTGTTTAGCGGATGATTACACTGTCATGAAATAGTTCCAGCATGTAACTCCCCTTAATTCCACAAAAGTTACATTTTTACATTTTTGTTTGAAAAGAGATTAAATAAACGACATATGACATGGTAAGAGCTTTAGAGGTGTTAGACCGTTCATTTTTCAACTTTAAGCTAGCTGCTTCCCCCTGCTTCCAGTCTTTATGCTAAGCTAGATTAGCGATTTCCTTGATACAGCTTTGTACTTAACACACAGACATGAGATTTAAGTGTTAAACTATTTATTTATGCAACAAAGGGATGCATAGAATATTGTCCATGTTTACAAAATTGACATTAGTAACATCAATGACACTTTTTGCAATTATGTTTTCGTGATTCTTGCTAAACATATTTGGTGAAAGTTATGTAAATACTGATTTGAATCGTCACTACTCTCCTCCAGTACATGGGCAGTATTGAAATGTAAGTGATCATGTCAGCCCTTGATGAATGTGTTTTACAAGATCCATGTAACTACTCCGTGTCTCTTTTTCCTTATTCTGACTGTCTCTTGTCCGCTCTTGTTTCTGCTTGACTTTTGATTCCTTTTTGTCTGATGTGGTTGTTGTTTTTAGCCATTCCTCTCCGTGCCACGATCATGGAGACCACAGCAGGTGACCTTCTGCACCTTGGATAAATCATTGTCCTCCTCATCATCATCATGCTCTTCCTCCCCTCACAGTGTGCTCTCCTGGTGGAGAGGTGTATGTGTCACTGTCCTCAACAGACATTGCCTTATAGACTTGGTTGTGGGTTTACAATGTGTCAAATCCTTTTAATCTGACTTAAATGTCCACACTCTGGGTCCCAGAGTTGATGTCCCCACATGGACGTATCATCTGATTCAGAAAGTTCAGGAAAACAAATCTTTAATTGTGGATATCTGGGCAAAAAGAGGCGGTGAAAGTTGAGGACATGTTTGTGGATTTCATACAATGTCTTGTTTATTGTGCATTTCCACTAACATACCCACCAACCACAGATTTAGTCTTACTGGATAAGATAAGTATTATTGTGTACTTTATACAGGAAAATGGGCTTGGATCGATTGAAGCAGAAAAATACTCTGATTGATTTAGTGTCCGTCAAACAGAAAAGCTTTATTTCCTGACCATATTGAATTACACCATCAAAGTACTTGTCAGCAGTGAAGGAAATAAATCTTCGTCTTCTAACAGTCGTGAATTCAATAACATATGTGTTAATGTCTCTGTGTGCTTGTTAATGTTGTCTGTTTGGGTAATGACCTGGTGATGATCAAATTGTAATGTCACTTCATCATGCCCATACTCCCGCTCATTGCGATATGTGATCCATGTGCATTCAGTATTTTCCACTTTGCATGAGGAGCGAGGTCAAAGAGTCTCAAGCTATTGAAGCTATCGTTTGATGCAACTTGACCAGATTCCCAGAGATGGAGCTGTTGATGGTGGTGACCATTTAGTGTTGAGAAAAGAGAGTCAGCGAAATGGCCCTACTGTCTGCATGGCTATTCTTACAGATAAACGATTTGAAGTTTTGTTCATCAATATATTTGGTGATATCAATTTGTCAATTTGCAGCCATTTTAAACAGGATATTACATATTTTACATTAAATCTTTTGAAATAGAAAAATAGCCATTATTCTGTAATTGCCACTTTTGGTCACAGTGGCTGCAGTTTTCTGAGACCCTGTTTTGACGAAACAATCTCCACTCAGTTGCTGTTTGTTTGTTAAATGACTTGTAACTTGACAACTTAAAACATCCACATTAGCAGTATGTGTATATTATTTTGGATTAGTAACCACTTGAGGCAGCTACTAGTTCTTAATTCTCTACCTTTGAGGTACTGCTAGTGTTATCACATGGGCAAACAATCTACCACGTAGCTTTGGTGTCTATATTCCCGTCACTTAATGGGATCAATGAGAAATGTCGTTAATTTGTGGAAATATCTCCTGTTCTGCCTCAGCTTCCTGGTCAGCTTCATGGTGGATGCCAGGGGCGGGGCCATGCGTGGTTGCCGGCACAACGGTCTACGCATTATCATCCCGCCCAGGAAGTGCAGCGCTCCCACGCGGGTGACGTGCCGGCTGGTGAAGAGGCATCGTCTGGCCACCATGCCTCCGATGGTTGAGGGCGAAGGCCTGGCCAGCAGGATCATCGAGGTGGGGCCCTCTGGAGCCCAGTTCCTTGGGTAATGCCGCAGGGATAGATGATGGAATGAGTGAATGAAAGTTAGTGGATGTACAGGCTCAAGAGAGAAGGAATATGGAGAGGTAGCAGAAAAATATAACAAATGCAGAAATCAGCAGTTTACTGAATTGATACAATTTAGTATCATTTAATTTCTAGTTAGTAGTAGTTGTGAAAGATCAGTTCCTGTACTTTTTCAGTTTTCACATTTTTTTTTACACAGGTAAAAGATGAGTGACATAGAATATCCAAATATTCTATGTCACTAATCTTTGACATTTATTAGGATAATACAATTTACAAAGTGTTTAATATGTCATGCATGCATCTCTAGTGTAAGAGGGAATATAAGTGGGAAGAGGAAAAAAGTAACAGGAATAACAGGTCAGACCTGTAGTCTCTACATTCATGCTATGGACACTGATTTGTATCCCTTTTAATGGCAATTTCACAACGTGCTGCCCGTTTTCTTTCAGATTAATTTAACCTCTGCCTCTGCATTACTAAAACTGTTTCTGTATCTGCTCTTGCTTTCTCCCAGCACCAGGGAAATGTTAATCTTTGCTCTTCAGCATGCCCTGATTTCTTTCGTAACAGCTGCAGTCCAACTCGTTTTAACCTTCTCCTTAACCCTTAATGAAAAAGCCTTTCTTATGAACCCCACCTTTACTATATTGCACCATGATTGGTTTGATATGTGGCCTCAAATTCTGCCCTCTGCTGGTAATGTTTGAAAAAGAATAGTATGAAAGCATTCATGCTATGATTATGATTCTCCCCCGTAATAATAGGGATGATATAAGTTATTCATTAACTATTTATTGCTGACATGATGGAGGTTCTCCCTGACCAAAACTACTGAAATATGTTGTTCTTATTACTATGTTTAAATTAATATTATAAAATGTGTGAGTATTTAACTCTGCAGTGAAAGCTGTCTAACTTTACCTTAAGATGATTGTTCCTATTATAAATGTAAATGATATATATTTTATTATTTGCCGTGAAAGTGGTAACATTTGAAACAGCAAAATGATCTTTAGTGACCTATGAAAACTTAGATAACTACAGAAACCCAAAGCGTTCAAAGTGATTTAAATACAATTTCTATTATAATTTAGATAGATATGAAGTAATATGTTTTAATAATATGATTAATAATTAATTATTAATAATGAATACCTAAACTAATATATAACAATGCAGTTGTGACATTGTCAATCCAGGCACTGACCTGTTTGTCTTGATTGACAGACTTTGCCATTAAAAGTGTCATTATGACATGAATCTGTTGTTGGACAAAATAGCACTGTGAATTAGTTTATAGAATTTTGAAATTCAAACAGCTTGACTTAAATGAAACTGACAGTAATAATGAAACAAAGCAGGAGGGAAAGAAAAATATTTTTACAATTTCATTTTTACAATATCTTTCAATATTTATGTTGTATATATATTATTATACATTTTGAAAACTTTTGGTCTCCATAGGCACTCGGCTAAAAATTACGACAGTGTTATTAATCTCATTCAAGTGTTGCAAATCAGTCCCCAAGGTTTCTATTTTGCACCCATCCAAACCATTGTGTGTGCTCTTTCTTCCTCACTGCTGCGTATGGACGCTTGGTCGATCACACAGTAAACTCCATCTCCCCACTGCCCCTCCACCTCTTAATGAGGGAGAAAGTTTGGTTAGCAGAATCCTCCAGCTCGGTCCTCCGGGGACAAAATTCCTCGGGTATGGTGGAAAAAAAACGTTTTTGCATATGAAACAATCTATGGATGCCAGTCTCAGTGTTTTATCTTACAAACCTTCCATTTGATGTCATTTTGTCCATAAGTTACTGTGTTGTGTTTGCACTGGTGTCTTGTATCCCACCTCATCTGCTACTTATGACCCTCTATATCACATTGCTGCGAGATTACTTTGCTGATTCTATTTAATTGAATCCCCCTCTTTGCTTAGCCTTCTCCATTTTTTGTGTTTATGTTTTCTTGCTTACTGTTTTCTTAACAAATGCGTGTTAGTTTTTTTTAATTCTGTGTGAAATTTAAACGGTTGTCTGGCCTGTGAGTAGCTAGGGAACCAGGTGAAATTTGACAATATGGTGTGATTGGCTCTGTTTTTTCATGTAAATGTTAAGTTGACCAGCAGGCTAATTTGGCAAATTGGTAGTGTAACTAAGTCATGCATGTTTTTTGGTCATTTTCCTTGATATGATTTTAGCTTGAAAGCTTAAACATGTTGAATACATTGCTACTTTTTCACAATTTGAGCCAGAACTTTGAAAAAATAAGGACATTATGTCTAAGGACATGAACCCAGTTGATATTGAAGTTTCTCCTGCCACCACTTGGGACATTCAAAGTGCAAATCTGGCAAGTGCTAGTTTTAAAATAGCATACAAATAGAAATACATATTATCATCTACTGTCAGGCCAAAGAACCCTCAAAATATCACATGAAAATATCATCAGTTAGGCTTTATAGCTGTGTTGGTCCCATCTTGGATTGTACTTGTAGCATGCCTGTTATAGATATGTGTTATAGCTAGTTTGTTGTGATTATGTATATCAGGTAAGTATTAAAGTAACAGTTAAATATTAAATATATAATATATAAACTTAAATATTGATTATAATCAATCTACAAAAACATTTTCCTCATCCCCTGTGGGTATTTTGACAAAAGTGGTGACAATATCTACTATAGTTTTCAAAACACCGCCTTCTCAAACTACTGCCGCAGCACGATACACTTCTCTGCTGTCCATGGGTAGGATATGTTCAAAACGCTTAGTAAAATATGACCAAATGCACTTCCTGTTTGTAGTTCTATGTTACTTATTGTAACATGTGTTACTCACAACTAGCTTTTTACATTGTGGTGAGCAACTAAGATAAGCAGCTCACTGTGCAGCAGTAAAAGTCTGGAAACTTTTCTCGATGCAAATGAGTAAACAGTAGAATTAGATCAATTCTTTAAGGTACACTCTACAAGTTAATCCACCTGGATTGTTCACTTGCATGGCTGATGCAACCAGAGCACTTGAGCAATGCTGAAGTCAGACCAAACAGTCAATACACAGTCTTGTTTGTCTTGTTCTCTTAAAGATCAACTGATCTTTCAACAGACTGGGTGTCAGGCTCCTATCAGGTTGCTTACACCATCCAGGTTGCACCTGTGACTATGTTCATACCCGCATGATGGAAACCCAAGTCATCCAGACTTCATAGAACTGTAATTACATCCATAACTATTATGTGTAGTACTGAAGAAAATATAAACGAAGCTTACCATTATACAATCAAGCACAATTTGAAAGACAGGACAATCTAAGAATATCTAAGTTCTTGAAATGAAGTAAAAAGTCAATTAGACCATGCCCAGATGCAGTTATACACACATTGTTATCATCCATGACATTCTGTACTTACTCACACTACCTGGCCTCTACCCCTCCAGTCCTGTGATTGTGGAGATTCCCCACTTTGCTGCCCTTCGGGGGAAAGAGAGGGAGTTGGTGATTCTCAGGAGTGAGACTGGAGAAAGCTGGAAGGAGCATCACTGTGAACACACTCAAGAGGAACTCAACCAGATACTCAATGGCATGGACGAAGGTCAGTCTCTGATGGTGTATCAGTAGACTGCACCATAACTTTGGAAAAGCAGACTTAAAAAGAATAAATGTAGTCCTACTTTATTGTCCCTGACACAAGTTCCTTTCTTCCCCCTTCCTCCAGAGCTGGATACTCCAGAGGAGCTGGAGAGGAAGCGCATTTGCCGAATCATCACGAGAGATTTCCCACAATACTTTGCGGTGGTATCGCGCATCAATCAAGATAGTAATCTGATTGGTCCTGAAGGAGGCGTCCTGAGCAGCACTGTTGTGCCCCAAGTACAGGCAGTTTTTCCTGAGGGTGCCCTAACCAAGAGGATCAGGGTCGGACTGCAGGTATTTGACAAAAGCATCAGTAAAGTCAATGGGACCCTGTGATATTTACTGTACAATTGACTGATTTTTTGCATCTGTATAATCAAAGCATAGCATACAAGCTTAGATATCAAACCATCCCAAATTAAAAAAAGTAGACAGAATACAAAAGTTGAATCAGTAGATGATGCTAGATGAATATCAGGCGATCATCGTCATTACAACTAAACCTTTGGGGAACATGAATGCCTGTACTAAATTGTCATTAAATCTCAAAGTAGTTGTTCGGAAATGTCCCTATAATTTAAAAACTTGCTGATGGTTCCAGACGAATAGTGAAGAGATCAACAAAGTTGTTGGACTTGGCTTCTGGAAACAATACATTCTGTCGATCCATCTATACTAATCCATCTTGTAGATACTGCAGTCGATAAGTGATTCGACCTGCTGTATGAATCTTTAGGATTCATACTCTTGAAGATGATGGATATTTGTAGAAAATTTCCGTCCAGACAAAAGTGGTGTATCAACCAACTGACGACGTAGCAACTAGTGCTATCGTCTGGAATCCATTGTAAGATTTCTGTTTGTCAAGGTGAGGATGGTCCATATTATTTTCTGCTTCAAGGGGCAATACGATACCATGTGGATGAAAATGCCGTTGCCTGGAACGTTAGATGAGATGGGTGATGAATGTCATAGCTTGTAGTCAGTTACTTTGCAACCCTGGTATAAAGTTCACTGCAGCCAACATTTCCATCAGGAGATCATCCTCAGTACATGGCCTTAGCTCAGGCTTCACCCATATGTATGGTTGCTGTATACTGTCTTCTCTCCTAGTCCCAGCCAGTAAGTGTGGATGTAGTGAGGAAGATCCTGGGGAACAAGGCCACATTCAGCCCCATCGTCACCCTGGAGCCTCGCAGGAGGAAGTTCCATAAACCTATCACCATGACCATCCCTGTCCCCAAGAGCAACTCAGACCTGGTCCTGAATGGCTTTGGAGGAGACACCCCCACCTTACGACTGCTTTGTAGTATCACAGGTTAGAGAACTCACGCAAATACATACACAAAGCTGTGAATAGACCAACCATACAAACGCTCACATTCTAAAATGTCAATCTTGGATTTGTGTCCATGTGCAGGTGGAACGACACCTGCTCAATGGGAGGACATAACAGGAACCACTCCGTTAACATTTATCAATGACTGTGTCTCCTTCACCACCAACGTGTCTGCAAGGTAACACAAAAACATATTTGTTGTAGCCCAACTATAACTGATGTAGTATAACTGATTAAAAGAGCTGCAGACCTAACTTCACTGGTTCTTTCCAATCCTCTTCTGCTTTCTAGATTCTGGCTGATAGACTGTCGGCAAGTCCAGGAATCTGTCAATTTCTCCACTCAGGTCTACCGAGAGATTATCTGTGTCCCTTACATGGCCAAGTTTGTCATCTTTGCCAAGACCCACGATCCCATTGAGGCCCGACTGCGGTGCTTCTGCATGACAGACGACCGGATTGACAAAACCCTGGAGCAGCAGGAGAACTTCACCGAGGTGGCCCGCAGCCGAGATGTCGAGGTAAGGAATGAGTGGGAGAGGAACATATATATATATATATAGTTAACGCGTTATTATCGCGTTAATGCATTAATTAATTAATGCCGACAATTATATTAAGGCAGTTTTGTTTATTTTTATTATTAAGCAAGATTTTTAACACAAGAACCAGGCAGCAAACAGTGAACAGCTGTGTTTGTGTGGCGTCACTTCCTTCTTCCCCCCGGGTCCGGAACCCCTCCTACACTCTGTCACCGTCCTTCACTCTTGTCTCACAAACACACACACACACACACACACACACACACACACACACACAGCGATCTTCTCGTTACAGGATCAAACGTGACTGTTGTGAAGTGGAGCTTCTAGTGAGGACCAAGACACGTCTTGTTTGAACGGAATACTTTACTGTCTGAACTACAGTATTACAGTGTTACAGTCAACAGAACACGCTCTTGCACCCCGACATGTGGTTTTCTACGTTTCATCAACATTGTTAGCGAACGCGTACCATTCTACTTCCTGTCTCTTCAAACTAAAAGCACTTCCGTTTATGCTCTTCACAATAAAAGTAAATCATGCAATCAAACAATTTACAACAGTGACAATATTAAAATACATATTGTTGAGTTTTTAAAGTGTTTTTGTTTGGAATATGTATAATAAGCATCATTTAGTTATCGCTACTGAGAATTTAACAAACGAAAAAAAGAAGTAGATATGTTTGCAGTTTTCAAGGTCTATATTTCAAATTGCATCTATTACACACATGAAAATAAAGTTATGAACACCGGCTGAATATCTATGATCAGAATCATTATAACTGTGTTATAACTGCTACTGTGTAAAGGGAATACTGCTGTTAAAAATAACCTTATTTGTTTAAAGTGTTTGCAAACCAAATGTTATTGCCCTTTTGTTCATATAGCAGTACTGTTAAAATAAAAGTGCGCAATACACTACTTTTGAATTAATTATTGAACTTTGCGCATAACAATGCGATTAATCGCGATTAATCGCAAAAAAATCATGCGATTAATCGCAATTAAAAATATTAATCGTTGCCCAGCACTAATATATATACTGTACATATATATGTATATATAATACACAATTAACTGATTTGCTTTTATTGTGAGGTTTTGAAACATCACATTCTTGATTTCTGAGAAATAAGATGAAAGGTGATGAAAGTTGCCTTCTTTACTGATTTCTACCAGGACATTGATCTGTGTGTGATCTGCATAACATAATGGTAGTTGTGCTTGTGGATAGTTGTCTTTGTTGATGCATGTACACTGTGAACTAAAGGGGGCCCAGCATGGTGCCTTGGGAAACACCTCAGATCGGGGGTCACAGTAATGGAGGCACTTCAGACCGCTACTCAAACCGTTCTGTTTAATACGTGTGATTTAAACCAGTATGTAGTGCTATCTGCCACTTTTTCACCAAAATTGAATGATCAGCAGTACCAAATGCTCGGCTCAGATTGTCCAGTTTTAGTGCTGTGAAATAAATAGAAACCTCATTAAAATGTATCGAAATATCATGGTTATTCATAAAAGACATCCACCTTTAGGAAATTACATTATAGAAAACTTTTGACTTTTGAAATGAAAATGTCGATATGTTCAATGGACAAGGCTATGTTTCATGAGAAAATTGTTTTTGTTGGTTGTTTGCTGTTAATAAGTGTACTTGTTCTATTTCTCAGGTCCTGGAAGGTAAACCTATCTATGCAGACTGCTTTGGAAACCTTGTTCCACTCACCAAAAGTGGCCAGCACCATCTCTTCAGCTTCTTTGCCTTTAAGGAGAACAGACTAGCACTCTTCATCAAAGTGAGAGCTATTTTTTATTTGAAACAAATAAACAACCACCAAGGTTTTTAAGCAAGTGTCAACTATAATTCATCATGTCGTATTTTTCTAAATGCATATAACATTCTAATCAGAGAAGATTTCTCCTAATGACTGAGTAATGCTGAACTGCTTGGCTGTTGCAGATCAGAGACAACACTCAGGAGCCGTGCGGCCGTCTGTCCTTTATGAAAGAACCCAGGAACTACAGGTCACTCACCGAAAATGCCATATGCAACCTCAACATCACCCTCCCATCATACGGCAAGGTAAAGGCACTACACTGTTGTTTGACTGAAAAAAGGAAGATTTGTGTTCTTGTTAGTTCACAAGAAGCACTATATTGAAATACTCTATTTGTTTGTAAACTGGACAATACTCTAATATTGAGTCCATTTAATCTCCCACTTATCAACTACTACATTATTCCAAAACATATCCCCAATTACTTTCTTATTTAATATTCCTTAATTGACTTTCTTATTTCAAATGTTTTGAAATGCACCCAACATTATAGCTTTATAGTGTTGATAAAAACTGCCTTCTACCCAGTCAGCCACCTTTAAGACTGTACTAGGCAACATTGCAGGCTGGTGACCTCTAATCAGATCAAAACTAAACTAAATATAATCGACTTCAAATCCCAGATGTCATGTGATGTGATGGCACGTCATTGATGCTTCCTGCTGAAGCACCAAGACACAAAAAAAGATCAAAGTGTAATTGAGGCTAACAAGATGATTCTGTTTTTACATCAAAACTGCTTTAAAGACCTCTCTAACTTTCCCTGAAATCACACTGACTGCTTGTCGTTGCTTTGGTAACCATACATAGCCATGTCTTCTTTCTCCCTTTAATGTTGCTGTTGTTTCTATGTGCACATCTTTCTGCTTCACGCTGCTTCTTGCTCCAAAAAGGAGTCCGATTCAGACCAAGAGCAAGAGGAAGAGGTAAAAGCAACCACTGCTTCCCCCTCCCTCTTCTACTAACTAGCTCTGCTGACCTGTCCTGTCCACTGTCTTATCATGAGGACTAAATATAGGACATGTTCACAAGTAGTCAAATATTATGTTTTAGATCTATTTTGTTTGTTCAAGTATATTAGATTGTGAATTGTCATTGGCATAGCTCATTTTTGCTGTTGTGTTATATGTGTCCATTGTGTTCTTTTGTTTTTAAAGTAGCAGCTGTAATAGTAGTAGTAGTTTTAGAATATTCGGCACATATGAGTGGATGAAACAATACTAACTGTGGCCCATTCTCCACATTATTTTCCAGACCAGCAGAACACTACAGAAATGTAAGACATTTTCTTTTTCCATTTCATTCTACTCTATAACATGTACTAAAATTGTTCTTATCTATAATAATACTGCATGCCTTTATTAATCAAACTAATATGACAATACCACTGATATTGTGTGGGTAATTAGTCAGATGTAGTTAAAGAAAGTGTGCAGAGGAATAACCAGACTGATCCCCTGACACCCCCAGCTTAGCCCTTAGCTAAATCGTAGACCATATACATCTTGTCAAAGCCCTTTAAGCTTCATGTATTTTTGTCCACTCACACAAACTCCCTTTGTCAAAGTTATGTTTCTCCTGAGGTTTAACTTCACTTTTTATTTTGCTTTATTTCTCAATTTCACACCTGCCTGATTGTCTTCGATTTAACTCTTTCCCCCTCACGATCTGAGATCTGATATTTAGAGAAAGAGTTAAACAGTGTGTACATCTATGTACATGAAAATGAAATGCATTCATAGTGTGCTGAAGTTTATTCGACAATGGCCTCCAATATTTTGCTGGCTAAAGCATACACAATGCCATTTTTGCTGTGCCAATGTTGTTGGTTTTTTGCGCCTGTTTGGTCTTTTATTGGCTCCAAGCAAACCTGCTTGTGTTGAGGTGGGTGGAGTGACACAACTGGAGTTGTGAGGCAGCGCAATCCAATTTGGCTACTTTTTTTGGCATTTTTACCTGCACAGTTATGCAGATCAGAGACAACACTGTTATACATATCAACGGGATGTGTGACTTCCAATCAATTGCAGTTGGTTGAGGCAGGAAGAAGGCAATGATATCAGCTTTTAAAGGAGATGAGAGGAGGGTGATGTGATTTGTAGTTCCTTAAGCACACCGGGGGCCTGTACTACGAAGTGAGTTCAACACAGACAGGATATCTTTTGATTATCATGCTTAACTAATCCCGCTGAACGGTCCAGCAACGTTGGTTTTCTAAATCGGGCTGTGAGCGCATTTCCCATAAATGAGCGACGTTTGCTGTATATGACCTATCACAAACATGGACAAATCTGCTGTCAGCAGAGCAGCATATTATACAAACAAAGAGCAAACTAAAATATTAAACAAATATGAGGAAGTTAAACACATAATCCAAGCGACTGTGTGAAAATACAAATACAAGCTTATAGACCTATTACGGTCCAATCAAGAGCACGAGTAGATTGGACTATAATTAGATTTGTGTATTCCGTTAATTAGTTAATGTGTTACTTAGATTTATTCTTCTGGAATAGAAGATACTATTCATACACTTTAGGATATTAGGGTGTGTATGACAATATTCTGAAACGGATTTAGGGTCAAATAAACAATAAATATAAAACACACTTCAAAGTGTTAAGCATGTTTTACTTTCATATCTTATAATCACCCACAGCATACATAAACTACCTGGAGCAAAGGGCAAGGCAATGCGTACAGTCTGTGGATAGGCATGGCAAGGCAAGATGCTGACACACATGAGTGAATGATAATAATATATGATAAGAGAATATGTACTGATTCTGTTATTTTGGTTATGAAACCGTAATTTATGCTGCTGTTAGATTGCTGCTAGACCGCTCCGTTAACTCAGGTGGGTGTTGCATGCAGGAGACTAAAGTGTTTTTAAAATGTTTTTATCAGCAGTAAAGTTGTGTTGTTTTTGAAAGGTTAAACATCAAGAAATATGGACTGAAGAATAATATTTGATGAGATACAATTCTGCTGTGAATTTTGGAAATTGTTGAAATATTATGAAAATCTTTTTTCATAAATGTTGACTTTTGGACTTCAAAGTCACCATAAGAATACAACTGCAACACATTAATTAAATGGAATAGACACATGCAATTATAGTCAGATCTTGTGCTCTAGATGGGTCCGCAATATTATAAGTCTTTTATAAGCCTTTATATATTAAGTGTGTAGCATAAATTACCATGGCGGTCCACCCAAGTAAGAATTGAACCACCTTTGTAGGACTGTATATCCAGGCCTGAAGTTACCTCTCCAACCCCAAAACCTGCTTCGTAGTACAGGCCCTTGAACTCCAGCTGCTGTTACAGCCTTTCTCCTCCTAATAATGTCTTCATACGTCATAAAATGACATACATCGTTCTATAAAAGGTGCATTGCAATCTGCCCATATTTTTACAAGATTTTCAAATTCATGTAGATCTGTAGATCTTGTGCCATGCTGTGCCAGGGTTGTGCTGGTACCCCTGTGTCATCCAAATTCCAAAAATGAGTTGCTCCTGCACATGTGCGCTTGGGCTCTGAGTTCCTGAAACGCTATGTGATATAGATAGCGAGAGCACCAAGTTCCAGGAGATTAGAGTTTTAGTCCTCTAGTGCAGCTAAGAGTAGTAGTAGTAAACCTCTTCACCCATTTTGAATCCTTCCCCTTCTACCCTGCTTGCTCTGTTCATGTAGTAATGAGCAAAATACTAAAATAGAAACAGGCAAATACAATTTACTTGAGCATTTAAATTAATGTTATATTAAAACAACTGCTGTTGTGAACATACATGGATGACATGCTTAAACATGACATGATGACATGATTAAAATTTCATATGTGTAACAAAGGCATTATGCATATTTAATGTAGAGGTTACTGATACAGCATGTCATAGCAATTGTTTTGTAAATGGACCAAAAACTCACCACATTAATGAATGAAGACATTAACAAGCAGCCCTTGATCATGAGCACCTATCATCTACTAATTTCAGATTCAATCATTATACTTACTCCATTTACTCTTCACCAAGACCTCTCCATGAGCACTTCCCTTTGCTTTGCATGGAAATAACTTGCCTTACATGAATGTCTACGTGTGTGCTTGTATGTCTGTATGATTCTATGTATGTATTCTATGTCATGTTTATGAGTTTATTTCTTCTTTTGCTGATGTACTGATTTCGGAATGTTACCTCACAGCACCATTTGTAAATGGTTTTGTGCACAATTTTTGTTATTTCAGTTTTCATTATATAGCATTATAGTTCTATTTAAAATGTTTAGTTAAATATAAGGCTGAATGGAGGGCAAATGGATAAAAATATTACCCCTCCCTACCCAAGATTTTACGAGTATTCCAGAGATCCTCCTTCCGCATGGCAAAGCATCATATTTTGTATCACTGGATTTCTTTGATAGACACAATTAGAAGTCTGAGTTGTTTTCAAGCCATTTTTGCCTGTTATCACATTGACATTTGTCATACATCCGAGCAATCTTGAGATGTCTTGATGTTGTTTCCTTTGTTTTCTTTGTTGTCAATTTTTCTATTGTACTGGTTAGTTTGTTGGTTACATGGTTGTTCAATCATTTTTTTAAGTTTTGTTCTATAGTTTTGTCTTGTGAGTGTGGGTGTGCTGAGTGTATATGCAAGTTATTTCCTGCTCATATCCTTTTCCATCGGTATTATTTAGCCCTTGCTTTTCCACAGTTCCCCAGAGACATATGACAGTATATGCCCAATTCCTCTGATACCCTGATGTAGAACCCTTTGTGAATTTGTTGTCCTATGATCCCTGCAGTGTGCTCCAATCTTGTCCTGACCACATTCTCCAATGTCTGTCTCCTTTCATTTGAATTTTTGATTTTCTTTATTCCTTACTTGTTCTTCTTCCATATGGAAGATGAAGAGATGCCGACATCAGTCCTGAAATCAGAGCTGATTCGAGAACCAGACCTTCTATTCGACGTGTCAGAGATGAAACAAGATTTGATCAAAATGACTGCCATCTTGACTGCAGACTCCACAGAGAAATCCCCTTCATTAGGAAGGTCTGGTCTAGAGAAAGGGACTGAGGATGTTTCTGGAGAGCCGTTAGAAATAATGGAAAAGGACTTAGAGAAAGTCAAAGAGGACCTAGAAAAAGTCAGTGAGATACTGAGGAGTGGAACATATGAGGGTGAGGCAGCAGAGGAGGCAGCAAAAGCAGCTAGAATTGTCGAGGAGTGGGTTCTCCTCTCGGACAGTGAGATAGAAGTGGCCAAAAGAATGGCAGCCTTAGAAACTCAAGAGCCAGTCTTACGTGAAAGCAGAGCTATCAGGGCTCCCAGACCTAAAGCAATAAAGGACAGTGGTGACCTTAAAGAATACCTCCTGGATGCACCAGTAAGCTCCAAAATAAAAGTTAAAGAAGAGCCAGCTGTCCAAGAAGAATTCACTGATGTTGTACTACGCAAAGGTGCAAAGCCAACTACCCCAACCAAGGTGCATGACAAAACAGCTGCTAAGCCAATCAGAAGGAAGGGCAAAGACCAGGGGCAGGCAGAAGAATCAACAGAGGCAGGTGCTCTTCTAAGTTTGCCAACTGGCCCAGCATCACCCGTATCCCCAGTTATTGAAGAAACTCCCATTGGGTCAATAAAGGACAAAGTCAAAGCCTTACAACAGAAAGTGGAGGCAGAGCAAAAGAGCAAAAAGGTCACTGGAAGCAAGGCCTCGCAATTGCCTGTTATGAGCAAACCCTCTCCAAAAGCCAAAGAAAGCCCTAAATCAAAACAGGGTCCCCCGAAATCCCCCAAAGCCGAATCTGAAAAACTTGAGGAGACTATGTCAGTTAAAGAGCTTATGCAAGCATTCCAAACAGGACAGGACCCCTCAAAAAGAAAGTCTGGACTATTCGAGCTCAAAACATCCTCTACGTCAAGATCGGAGAAAACCACAAGATCAGATACCATCCAGTCAAAATCCATGACCAAAGCAATAACCTCACGTGTCTCGCAACAACGAGAAGTATCTTTGGATTCCAAACCTTGCAAGAAAGAGACCACTCAGCAAGACAGAGAGATAGAAACCAAGTCAGTTGCTTCTGCTCATTCTGAGCTAACTGAAACTACAGACTTTGGAAATGGTGGTCTTGATGATAGCTCTGACAGCTTAAAACATGAGGGTGTGGCAGACTCCCTAAGTGCCAGCTCTGGAGATTGTACCCCTCATTTGAGCTCTGAGGACAGTGACAAACACGAGGGTCTTGCCACTCCAGGCACAAGCCCAGAGAGTCTGTGTCTTTCTCCCAAAACTGGACAGCAGACCTCTACAACTTTGGCAGCAACTGGCACAACAGTCAAAAATGAATTTATAGACACAGAGAAGTCTGGACACTCTGGTGTAGGGACCACTGGTGACCAACGGTCTGCAGAATTGACTCTCCCTGTTTCTTCCAGTGAGGTTGCACATGATCACACTACAAGTGAGTCCATATCTGTTAGGAGGAATGAGTCTAAGCCATCTATACCTCAAAAGCTTACAAAGAGAATTTCAGAGGCTGTAGAAACTTTTCTTAGCGATGACGAGAGCCCTGATCATCAGCTAGAATTGTCTTTAATTCGTTTTCCAGCCTCTAGATCTTCTTCTCAGCGTCATGCAAGCTTAGAGCTGCCTTTAAAACAAGACTCAGACTCTCTCAGTCCATTAGCTGATGAGTCTTTGACAATAAGCCACAGAGACTCTCTTGAGGGTAGTCCTCTCATGGAAGAAAACTCCTCCCATAAGTCCCCAGATTCCATTGAACCTAGCCCAACCAAGGAATCACCCCCTCATGACTCCTTAGAGAGCAGCCCTGTAGAGCAAAAAATCCACCCATCCTTCCAATCATCTATAGGTCCATCTAGTAAATCCCATAGCCATCCAGATCCCTCCAAAGCTACAGACGTTCCTCAAGATGCTTTGCGCGGTAGGCTGCTTCGAGACCATGAGGCTAGTGCTGATGATGACAGTTTTGAGCAGACATCTCAGATGACAAGTTCCGGTAAGAGTCCCCTCTCCCCTGATACTCCCAGTTCTGAAGAGGTAAGTTATGAGGTAAACCCCAAACCCCCTGACTATACATTCCTTTCCATTCCATTCACACCGGCTGTCATTCCTGAAGACCAAGAAGAAGAGGATACCTCAGACAGCTATGAATCTAAAAGAAAAATCACTCCAGAGGAAGAGATGTTTAAAATGGCAGCCAAAATAAAAACATTTGAAGAAATGGATCAAGACGAGAGGAGCAAAAAGAACTCTAGAAAAGATTTGTTTCCCACAGCAAATGCCAAACTAGGGGATGACAGCTATGAAACAATAGAGCACACAAGTGAGAAGCTTTCGCAAAGTGAATGTAGGCTCAATAGACCCAATGAAGATTCAGAGTTAGCTCTTTTTGTTGATCCCCATATTAAAGTACAACCTCCCTCTCCTTTTTCAGCAGGTTTGCATGATGGACCCCACAGCAAAGAGGTCAAGAGCACAACAAGAACAGCCACTGTCAGTTCAGAGGGGCCTCACTCTGTCTCAGCCCAGCTGGAAACTGCACAGGAACAAAGAGTCCCACCATCTGTAAAAGTTGATGAAGACAGTACTGCCAAAAAGGCTCTGGTAACACCATACACTGAAAACAGGACTGATGAGCAAAAGGAGGAGAGTTTAAGGAAGTCAAAAGACAACAAAGGAGATGATAAGGATGGTCAAGAGTTAAGTGTTAGGCTAAAACAAGGTAGCAATGTAACAGATGAGGTAAAAGGAGATAAAAAGGAGCCTCCAAGAGCAGCGGAGGCTGGATGCAGTGCAGCTGTTGCCACGGGTCAAACAAAGGAAATGTTTAAACCGGAGGTCTGTATATATGATGACACAGAGGAGGAGGATGAGATACTGGAGCCTCCCAGAACTGAGTCAAAAGGTGTCACTGCAAGGGTAGAAACTGATTCATGGTCTGCCATGCGGGAGGATGATGCCGCTTTTGCAGCTCGTGTAAAAGAGGAGGAACAGAAGATACTGAATCTGGTGGTGGACCGTCAGTCTCTGCAAGCAACTCCGGACACAACACCTGGTAGAACACCAACAGAAGAGAGCACTCCTACCAGTGAGCCCAACCCTTTTCTATTCCAAGAAGGGAAGCTTTTTGAGATGACCCGAAGTGGTGCTATTGACATGACTAAGAGGAGCTATGAGGAAGAGGGGGGTGGATTTGCCTTTTTCCAGATAGGTGAACAGCCTTTAGATGAACCTCTCTTAGAAGAAAGTAGATCAGCAGCAGAACCTGAAGTTGGCCTCAATCTAACACTAGAGGTTAAGACTGAGGAGACTGAGACAAAAGAAGCAAAAGAAGCAACTGATTATCAGCTTCAGTCCCCAGCCGAAGGTGATCAGCAAACCTCTAAAGCTGATGCCTCCAAATCTAAAATCCCTAAAATGGGCATTTCCGCTTCAGCCAAATCTACAAAGAAAGATCAGACATCCCCTGAAGGTCGAGACAAAAATGTGAACGAAGATTTAGACAAAAATTCCCCTGACCAAATGATTACAACTGTACAGACAGCCGAAACTACAGTCACTAGATCAGTTTACTCTGAGCAGGGCCAAGAGTCCTCTGATTCATCTCCAGAAGAACCAGAGTCAGTGATAGAAGCGCCCAAATCAACAGTCAAGTCAAAACAAAGTGCTCCCACGAGTGTTAAAAAAACTCCAGTCAAAACACAAGCTAAGTCTGCTCAACAAGGTCGGGGCAAATCCACAATTCCCTCTCAATCTCATGCAACTTCCTCTTCAACCACTCTTAAAAAAGAGGCCTCCTTCATTTCTGAATCTAAATCAAGAATTCCCATTAAGGCTCCCAAGCCTGATTCTATTGTCAAACATGCTGGATCTACCCAAGACAAAAAGCTTAAGGTACCTGTGAAAAAGGATTCAAGAAGAAAATCTGAGACAGACACAGGTCCCTCTGATATCAAAACCAAGACACCATCTTCCAAAGCCAAGAGCTTCTGTGAGGGGGACTCTACCAGGTCATCTGCTAAAAAAGAAAAAGGTCGACCATTGAGTTCTGAGTCAGCAAAATCTAAAGGCTTCCAGTCCAGATTGCCAGTCAGAGGTAAAAGTGGTCATTCATCAACACTCACTAAAGAGAAAAGTGAGCCAAACAAACAGTCCATTGAGTTCTTTGAAGAGATAAGCGATGAAGCAGCAACACTTGTGGCAAGATTGGCACAGGCAGAGACAGAGAAAGAACAAAAGGTTGCAGCCGCCAACTCAGATGATGAGAGCAGTGTCATTGATCCATCAATCATAGAAAGAGAAACTTTCCCTGAGATGCAGTTCCTGCCCTCAGGAGACGTCTTTCCCATTAGACCACTGTGGGACAACCCTGTTGAGACACAGATGCAGCGAATCCCAGATGATAAAGTCCAAAGTCAAGGTATCCCCCCAGTTTAAGGGGCTATTCTCTATCTCTTGTGCCTCATTAGTACACTGTAGCTGTAAAGGAGCTGCCTCTCTGTCTCTTGTAGTTAAGTCCCATTGTAGTTGAAGAATACATGTGGCTGTGTCTTTTGAGCTGTGTTTGTGTGCGTTGTGACGTCTGTCTTTCCCTCTGTGTGCTGAAAATCTCAAGATTGACTTAAAGGCTTTATGGAACTTGTGAAAACAACATAGTAACTAAAACTTTTTTAAACATTAAAGAGTAATTCATTATTTAAACAATCATATGTAATGTCATTTATTTTCTAATGATTGAAATGTATGTTTCTTAATCATAGTCCCACTTAGATCTATCACAACAATTCTTTACAGGCATATTATGTATTTGATCAAGGTTACAATTCTTTAATTTGATATCATGAATTAACAAAACAAACTGTCAGTACTACAAGATCAAGAAAGCCAGTGAAGATTTTTTGGAATACCATTTGTGAATGTGACTTGATTTGGTATATCTTGCGGCTCTGACCGCTCATGGCTGTCTGGTGGTATTTGCAGTACATCCACAGGATGAGGCAGAGAGAAAAGAGCAACGGTTGGCCATTATAGCCGACCACCTGGGCTTCAGCTGGACTGGTGAGTCCCACCTTAGTAGCAGTGATCAAGCTATCAAACATACATCAGATATAGAGTATTAGTGAATTTTTTGCAGGCCCAAAAGAAACACAACTTAAAAATTGTAATCATTAGAATAATAATGATATCTTCCTTTTGTCGTCAGAATTAGCACGAGAACTGGACTTCAGTGAGGAGAGGATCAACCTGATAAGGATTGAAAACCCAAACTCACTGCAAGACCAAAGCCATGCCCTTTTGAAAGTCTGGGCTGAGAGGGAGGAAAAGCATTCCACAGGTTAGTGAAAAGTTTGAGTAAATATTTCTAATAACTGTTGTTTTCTAAACAAGAACAAAATAGAAGCTCTTATTAAAATTTAAAATGAAACTTTGAAGTCTGTTTTCTATTTCAACAGAAGCAACACTGATCAAAAGACTGACTAAGATCAACCGAATGGACATAGTTCACCTCATTGAAACTAAGATAATCAAGTCCACTCAGGAGGAGACATCATCACATACATATGCAGAAATTGAGCGGACCATAGCATTGGATCATAGTGAAGGTACACAAGCCAATGTTAACTTGAAGCTGACTGATGATGAGGTTGTAATTTAGTCTATGTAGAATTTCTTTTTTACCAAACAGTTATATCAACTCTTTCTGCATGCCTGCACTGTATCCTTTGTCAGGTTTCTCTGCCCTTCATGAAGACATTGACAGCCCCAGGCCAGGCAGGCGTACAGAGACTGCACATAGGACTCCAGGTTCGGGACTAGAGGTACCCATGGTGTCGGCAGAGGACCTGTCCTCCAGTTTGTCATCCCTTCACGAGACAATTGGACGACCAGAAACAGATTTCAAAGCAACTGGCCTTAGAAATGCCCAGAAAGAGAAACTACAAAAAGAGATGGAAACACCATAGTAAGTTACATGGACAGTTCAATTCATGTGACCATAGCTACAGTCGCTTTCTGTCTGTCTTTTTATGTATCTACAAGCATGGATACAGGTTGCACTTTACCTCAGATTGCTGAATGACCTACAAAACAAACATCCAGAGAGAAATGTACCACTGCTGACTTTATTTTGCAAGCAATAATTAATTAGTTAATCCACTGTAACACATACTACAGCTCAAAAACCTACATGCAAATGTCAACATTGGTCAGTTTAGATACTTTTTGGTGTGATTATTACTCAAAAGAAGCATTTCTGATTTTTCTTGAAAGACCTTTTTTCTTCCTTTCAATAAAAATTATTCATAATAATTTGAAAAAAGACTTTTTAGATTCAATTGGACTTAATGTGATTTAAGTTGATATTTGGTGGAATATGTATTTATACATTATGACAAAGAATACTGAGAAGATGTAAGACTTATCAGCTTTTATTTATTTATCAATTCATCAGCAATCCTGTGACTGAATATGCATTTTTTTCACAGCTCATCACATAGAGTATATGAGGAAGTGACAGACACCTGTGACAGGAGCACAGGCAGTATTAAACAAGTAAGTCCTTTCTTCACATTGTACCTCACCTCTCCCTACAACCTCCGATCCCATGTGATAGACCCTGTGTTCAAAGGGGGACCCATGTTAGGCACCCAGATTATCCCACCGCCTTACCCCACTATTGAACCATGTGATGATGAGGGTGGTGCTGGATATGGGGGGGCAGAGGGGGGAGAAGAGTGGAGCTTGGAGTGTCTACAAACCACCAATTCTGAATACAATGCTGATTATTTGTCACCATGGCGAGAGTCATCTAATAGTTCTCGAACAGGTGTATGCAAGAGTCGACCATTGTCTATGACCGACTTTGGGGATAGCTTGATTGAGTGTGATCAAGCTGAGCAAGACTTCAGGAAACTGTCTATGGAGCTTACGGAAACCGATGAGGTCCCTGAAAAGATTTGCTTAACAAAACAACCTACAAGTGAACAACTGCCTACTCAGCCTACTTCTGTGCCTCCGTCTGGTTCCACTAATGCTATGACAGAATCCATCCTGACCAAACAAATGGCCAGAAAACACATGGATGAAGTTTCAAATCGACTCTATAAAGTCTTGTATGGATATGATTTTGAGTTGATGGATTCAGATAATGAGGATTTGTCCGTGGCGCCTATGGATGCATCCTCTGAAGACGCAATTCAGGCTGGACTCAGGAAAGATGAGGTTGATGGAGCTGCTAGAAACATAAATATTGATGAAAATGTTTCAAACTCTTTGATTGAGATTGATGATTCCCATGTCTCAATTTCAAGTGACCTTAATGTCAAATCCCATAATGGCATGAATCAAATCGACACTGCCACTCAGGCATTAGCAGGTCCCTCTGATGTCAGTTGTACCACTCCAGGTTTAATGTCTCAAAAACCAGAGCTCTTAAGCTCAACTGGCTTCATTCAGGTGTCACATGACTCAAATTTTGAACAGCTAGATGTTCATTCAGTAGATAATGCTATGCCAGGTATACCAGGAGCAGAATACAGCTTTGAGAAAACACTGTCATTCAGACGGAATGAAAATGAGTTTGTGGTCTCTGTAGAGTCTACACCTGAGATCAAAGCATCCAGATCCTGTTTACCAGAATCCACATGTGAGACCATTTGTGAACTTTATAGCTTAGTTTATGATAGATTATCTTCACCTGAATGTGTGACTGATGCAGAAATATTACTGACAGAGAGTAGGGCCACATCACCTGAATCAGCATCGTCACTAAATGAGCTGAATGTTCTTGCACACGATTCTCCAATACCTCAGTTTAGGCCTTTGTCTCCCCTACCGCCGCCTATTTTTCCATGGGAAAGTGATGATGTTGGGGCTTCTGCCCCAGTGCAACCATTACTGAGTGAGCCAAATACTTATATGCACTTAACATCAGAAGCAGAGGAAAGGCCTTTGACGCCAATGGTTTCAAACAAAAGACCATTTGGAAGGCAAGTATCACTAGGCAGCGATAGAGCTTCATCACCTGCTGCAGCTGCAGCTGCTGGAGATGAATCTGAATCTGTTTTACGTGTTGTTAGTCACAGGTCACCCTCCCCTGAATCAATTGAATTTGTAGAGATAGCTGATCATAGAAGAAAATATACCGAACCATTGGTATCTGATACACAGAATAAATCACCAACACCAGTGGAAACAGTATCTAAGGATGATGATGATTGGGTCATCTTATCTATGTCTGATATTGAGGGAAGACCACTTTCACCAGAGTCAGTGCCTGGCAACAGATTTTTGACTCCACAGTCAACAATTTTAGACATTATAGCATCCTCTCTTGAATCAGAGACATTCAATGAGAGTCTCTCCCCAGATTGTCCCATACCACAATTTACGCTGTCTGTGCATCATTCTGTTACTAAAAATTATCATTTATTATCATCAGACTCTGTTTTGTCAGATACAGAGTATAAGGCCATGCCATTGCTATCATCTTTTGAGAATAGGGCTTTATCTCCTTGTTTAAGTAGTTCTGTAAGTGATTATGGGTCTAATCTTGTAACTGGCCTGCCTCTTGAGGAAGACATGACACTTGAACTGACACAACCTGCAATTGATGTGGAAGAGGCATGTGCTGAAAAGCAGTTTAAAACTAAAACAAGCATTACCATTGATCTAGAAAAATCCAAAACTCAAGAAAAATGTTCAATCAATATTTTGTCACAATCTGAGCACAATCCTATGAAACATAATGAAAATGAAGGTCCCAAGATACAAACAGTTGTACTTGAAGGCAGTCAGTCTGACCAAATCATTGTCACGCCACCAGCGGGAGTTGAAGTCTTGTCAACTAAAATTACAGAAAAATTATCTCATGAGTTGTTTGATGAGGGAAATTCAAAGCAGGAAATTTACAATCCTTTAACTGGAAAGACAAAGTCTGCTAGAAAGAAAAAATCTAAGAAATCAGTCAAAACTGATAATGAACCTGTGCAGAATGATACAACTTATCTAAAAGAATCACCTGAGTTTATGGTTACATATGTACCCCCACAAGGATCTGTTAAAACTCTATCACCTCCAGAAACTGGATCTGATGATCTACCATTCTCATTGGCATTGACTAAAAATTCCCCTGAAGATCAGCAGTTTCAACGAGAATCAGTTTCTACACCTCAGCATCATATGCCTTTATCCTTAAATGAATATCCAGTGCCAGTGTACAGTTTAGCATATGGTGCAGAACTGCGGAAGCTCATCGCTCAAATGCTTGACCCACAGTATGTAGGAGTGAATAAACCAGGAATGCTTCAGTTTGCTGAAACAAGAACAGAGTCTTATCAGACAAGGTCAGATGCAACAGCTGAATATGAATCTTCTGGTTTGCAATCCCAAAATTACCAAAGATCACTTTCATTTGATTCTGAAGCACAATATAGACCCATGACACCGCAATCGCTGGATACACTTAGACCAGATTCCTCCCACTCAGGGAGATCTGTGAATAGTCAGCAAGCTTTAATGCCAGATTCCCCTATACCTATGTACTTTTCCTCTTTCTCTGGATCATCCCAAGTTTATCACAGATCAATGTCAACAGAGTCAGTATGGTCAGATCTGGATCTGGAGACTGATTTAAACATTTCATTTCTTATCGAGGACAGACCAGCATCTACTGATTCAGTAACATCTGTTAACATATACAGGGCACTATCACCTGAGTCACCCATTCCTGTGTTTGGACAGGGTTTACCAGAATTTGTTGCTGGGGCCACAATGGCAGTATCCTCATCACCTTTTTTAGTTGGTTCAAATTTAGAGTATGGGGCTATGTATCTGTCACAACTGTGCCCTGAAATTAGACCATCCTCACCTGATTCAGTTTCTGGAGATGACTATAGAGGTGACTTGCCAATACCAGAATTCAAAACAGGTCTGACTGAATCAGTTCCAGTCATTGGTCATAGATCATCCTCTCCTGAGTCTGTGGTTTCTGAAGTCGAATATACACAATCAAGTATTTGCGAGCAGAGATCTGACTCACCGGAATCACAAGTATTGGAGACCACAGGGAGACCATTGGGTGGTAGTAGTCAAATTGTACCTCTTAAAGCAATAAGGGTACCAGTATATAGACTTGTTTATGATGCTGAACTTTGGAAACTTAATTCTCAAATACATGATCCTCACTTGGTTGGGGAGACTTTTTGCAGTAAAACCGGTGTATTTGAGTATGCTGGAACAAAAATTGAGTATGTCCTGGACGATTCAGGTGTGAAAGAGGGAGAGTTAGAGGGTGGTGGGAAATTGGACATCGCAGATTCCTCTGATGCAGTTGTTCTACAAACAATGCAAACAAAGATTGAGAAGGAAGAGAGCCCAGTGTCAGACTACAGGCCTTTATCACCTGGGGCACTGATAACTGAATCAGCTGTTTCCATGCTTGAAGAAAAGCAATCGGAAAAGACTGGTGCAACAATTAGACCAAACCAGCTGATATGTCAACTACATGACCCACATTATGTAGGAGAAGCCTTTGTAAGTAGAGTGTTTGAATATGAGGAGACAAGTAAAGAATGCATTCCCCTTGATTCACATGCAGGAGAGACAGGTAGGGCAATGTCACTTGGTCTTGGGGCAGAATATAGATCTTCCTCCCCCAAGGGCCTGAAGTTACTGAGTGTGCTGAGGCCTGATTTGCAGGAGACAGGAAACTCTGTAGATGAGTATAGACCTTTGTGTCCAGATTCACTAATTCCCCAACCTTCTTTCTCGCTTTTTCAATCTCCACTGGAAAATCCCAGGGCACCGTTTTCCAAACCTATGTCAGATACAGAACTTGAGCAATTTGATGCTGCTTTAATTACTGAGTCGAGGTCATCATCTCCTAAATCAGAAGAGCGACGGGCCCTGTCTCCGGATTCACCTGTACCTCAATTCATGGCAAGAGTCAAATGTTTTCCGTTGTTTGGTGGGTTTAGGTCAGCATCCCCTGAATTAGATATATCAGATGTTGAGTATGGACCTTTATGTAATTCCCCACCTGGTACTGAAGATAGACCAGAGTCTCCAGAGTCATTAGAACTAGAGCTAAAGGAGAGACTTCTGACACCTGATTCTGAATCAGAGTATAGGCCTTTCTCACTGATGTTAATGTCAAATTTCAGATCATCCTCTCCTGAAACAACTGGCTCTCTGAATGAATACACAGCTCTTTCGCCAGACTCACCCATTCCTGAATTTACACAGGCACTGCAAGAGTCCGCCATATCACATATGGAGTTACGGTCTTGTTCACCTGAATCAGTGTTGTCTGACTTTGATGAGGAAATTGAGTCATATTTCCCAATTGTCCTGGAAGATCGATCTTCTCCTGAGTCCTTGGCATCTCTGAGTATATACAGAAGACTTTCACCTGATTCCCCTTTACCTGACTTCAGTCAGGCTTTGCTAGAGACTGATCCTGAGTTCAATGCTTACAGGTCATGGTCACCTGAATCAGAGTCTTCAGAASTCGATTATTGTCCTTTGATTTCACAGATGTTTGATTTTGAGAACAGAGCAGAATCCTGTCAATCAGGGGTGTCTGACTCTGATCTTAGATGTTTGTCTCCTGACTCTCCACTACCCCAGTACACTATGAGTGTACCCACTGTGTTGGGAGTAAGATATAGAGCCACTTCACTTGAATCAGTATATTCAGATGAGGATTTAGAAACAGATTTGAGTATCCCTTGGCTTTTTGAGGACAGAGCCACATCTCCTGGTTCAAGGGCATCCAACGATGAATTTAGACCTCTTTCACCAGACTCACCCATTCCTGAATTTACACAGGCACTACAAGAGTCCGCCATATCACATATTTATGGACATAAGTCAGCATCCCCTGAGTCAACCTGTTCAGATGTGGAATACATTGTTTTAAGCATTGAATCATTCGTTTATGACATCAGACCCTCTTCACCTGGCTCAGGATCATCTGGAGATGAATACCAGGCTCTGCCACCAGACTCACCCATAACTGAATACAGGCCAGTAGTGCCTGACCGTGTTATTGGCATTGCTGGCTGTAGATCACCCTCCCCTGAATCCTCTGAATCAGATATTGAGTATGCTTTGAGTGAGTTATTAATGTCTTTGACTTATGGTGTAGATGATAGACCAAATTCTCCCAAATCAGTAGGATCAGAAATACAAGAGAGGCCACAATCGGTTGAAGCCATACCAGAATACAAACCCTTGTCTTGTGTGGCATTGACGTTACTTGGAAACATACGATCAGTGTCTCCAGAATCTACTCAATCACTTGATGAACACAAGAGGTTGTCTCCAGACTCACCCCTTCCTTGGTTTACACAAAATGTTCTCAAGACTACAGCAGAAGTAACACACACCAGGCGTTCTTTCCAAGATTCAATATTGTCAGATGTAGACTCTACTTTGACTTCATACGACACAGAAGTCACTGACATGAGACCACTATCACCTCATTCAGAGAGATCAGATGATGAATGTAAACCCCTGCCATCTGAATCGCCAATACCTGATTTTACAAAGACATTTGTAGAAAATATAATGACTGTGAGAGATATTTCACCCACTGAATTTTCAGGTTCAGATGATTTGTCACAATCTTTAGACCTGTTTGGTGCAGATGAAAGGTCATCACAAAAGTCTTTTGAATCAGACAAGGAAGAATTACTCTTGCCAACCAAATCATCAATACCTGAATTAAAAGTTCCAACTGGCAATGAAGCAACCATCAATAGCACTGTTTTATCAACAACAATGGCACCTACCTTACCTGAGGAATCAGCGGTAATCTTAGCTAAATATAATCTAATTCATGATGCAGAGCTGTGGAAGCTAATTTCTCAAGTACATGATCCTCAGTACGAGGGAGAAACTTTCAGCAGTAAAACAGGCTTTATGCAATTAATTGCCAACACAATAGAACATGAGAGGAGTGTTCAAGATGATGATCAAGATACTAAAGTAAAAGATAAAAATGAGCATGATGTCAAAAAAACACCTTTAGAGGAAACCGATAAATTTACTTCAACAGACACAGCCAAAGCTGATGATGGCTATCTTTGCACTTCAAGTGTACAAGTCATATCTGATGGACCTGTTTCAGAGTCATCTCTACCAGTGATTGAACACATTGTGTTGTCAGGGGCAGCTCCATACAGACAGGCTAAGTATACATTTAAAATACCTGTCCCTGAGGCACAAACTGAGTCTGATGGTGGTTGGGTGGTAGTATCAGTATCTCACACAGAGGATGATGATCTACGCTATTCACCAGAATCCTTGACAGACTTTAGACCCATATCCCCCAGTTCAGTCATGGTGATAGAATCAAGAGCATCATCACCAGAATCTGTAACATCAGTCAGTGAGTTTGGACCACTCTCCCCAGATTCCCCCTTACCTGAATTTACAATAGCAATGCCAGAATGTGTATCGTTCCTGAGATCAGCATCATGTTCGCCTGAAAATGTACCATCAGATATAGATTATGTGGCATTCGGAAATTTGGAATCTCAGTTTTCAGAATGTAGGCCATCATCTCCAGTATGTGCACCATCAGAGTATGAGAATGAGAGAGGAAGGGCTTTGTCGTCTCAGTCACTGCCTGAATACAGACCAATGTTGCTTGGATCCTGGTTGTCCATGTCTGACAAAAGAGCATCATCTCCAGAATCAATGTCTGAGTTCAATGAGAACAGGTCACTTTCTCCAGACTCTCCCATCCCTCAGTTTACAGTATCATTGGAGTACAAGCCTACACATAGGACATCATCACCTGAATCAATTGGTTCAGATTCAGAGTGCGAGCTTATGGTCACGTCATCAAGAGACAATGATAGACCATCTTCACGTGAATCCATTTCATCTGTCAATGAGTTCAGTCACCTATTGCCTGACTCACCAGTACCTGATTTTATGAGAATATTGTCTTCTTATTTTATGGATGCTACCCATGTTGATAGATCATCTTCACCTGTGTCTCTGTCATCAGACTCTGAGTTTGTTGCTCTACCTATTGATTGCTGGATTGATGATAGCCCAAGGCCACTGAGCCCTCAAACTGTGGAGTCAGAGGAGGAATTAGGTTTTTGTCGTGAAGGTACTGAACTTTTGAGTCATGTGACGTCTTATTTATTACCTTTATTACCTGGTCAGTCTTCATTATTACCTAACAAAGGGCCATTGGCGGAGTCATCATTATTAATTCAAAGTAGTGAGACAAATGTCAATCCTAACTGTCAAAAAATGACAGGACTGCAATCAGAAGTTTTGTCATACGAAAGGATGCAGCGTGGATATGAAGCTGAAAGTATCTCAACTTTACAAACCACGGTTTGTGAGGAAGACTTCCAGAAAGACTTTCTTGTGAAACCATCACCAGTTCAAGATGCAAAAAGAAAGGAGACAAAGATCCTACACATCAGTTCTGGAGAATTAAAGAAGAAGACGGTCTCACAAAGGGTAAGACTGAGAGCATGACAAGCAAGCAAATACTCCCTTTTGTTTTGGACAAATTCATTAACATGTCACTTGGATAAAGCAAATAACTGCTTTGATGAACTAATAACAAAATGGTGTGCAGTTGCATCAAATGCGTCTGGAATTTGTACGAAATGTCCTTCAGTTCTTATCTATTTGTCTGATCTTTTAAAGTGGCATGCCATGGCTTCACAATAGTGTTCTAAACTTAAATGAGATATTGGCTGTATCGAAAATAATCATTGCACAGTGATGCTAACCTGGTGAAATGTTGACGTCATTTTAATGGTGCATACTAACATGTACACAGATTTTTAATTTTTTTAAACTTATTTAGATCATATTCCCTTGCAGGCTCCTGCTGAGACACCAGAGGAAACACAGTTTCAAACAGACGTTAAGGTGTATGACCCAAACTCATTCACAACCCACAGAACTGTTACTTCAATTCTACCTGCATTTGAGAATACATCATGTTTAAAGTTGGGCTTATCACAAGGGCACCCAGAGTGGGAGTTCTCCCGTAACAAAGCACAGCCCAGTGAGCTTTTTTCACCCATGTCAACTCGGTTTTTGGTACCACCAGATTATGAAGCCGTATTTTCAGGACACCAAACACTGAGAGTTTCTCAATGCAGCCAAGCCTCTTTGAATGATTTGAGTCCAGTGTCTCCAGTGTTCAGTGACTCAATGTCAGCTCAGATTGTGACTGATGCCACCACCAAAGGAGAGTCTGAAAGTTCTAAAGACTTGGAATTTTTACCAGACTTTAACAGAGTCCTCTCTGAATTTGAATCAGAGGATCCAAAGGTCGTACCAACGGAACTCAGTAAAAGATTGGAATCTCCACAGCACTCTGACTCAGATGTGGAGTTCTTCGAGTGCAGACAAGCCTTCTATGACTTCTCTGAACCAGAAGAAGTGAAACTGGAACATGAGATTACCTATCATATTTCTGAACCCCCGTCCCCAATGCCTGGGAGTAGCTCTGATGGTGGCTTCCTGAAAGGAAGCCCTCAGTACACTGCTCACCCTTTCCTCCAAGTGGAAGATTACAAGCGCTTCTCTTCTAGCAGTGAAAGTCTCAGTGAATTTGCTTGTGATTCGGATGGTTCACGGGAGTGTCAAACAGACGGCAAACTCCCGTTGTGTGAGGAGCTGCCTTCCAGAGACCAGGCAGGGTATTACGATGATGATGACTTCCTGGGAAGGGTAAGGGGTTGGTGATGAGCATGAGCAGAGTGCTGCACTTGCTTTTTTTCTAGCCAGGCCAGACTTGTTGCTGTGGTGCTGCAGTCAAGACTCAGAAGATAAACTATGCAAATTGGCACTTAACCTTAATGAGGCTGATGAGTGCTTTTGTGTGCATGAGTGCCTACACTTTCAAGGAAATAACAAAAAATTAACAATGTGATGATTTGCTGTGTCATCAGTAGGTGAAAAAGCTGTTGCCATTGGTGGTGTGATGTATTTGCAGTTCCTAATTTTTAAGTCAGCATTGGTGACATTTACAAGCTGCTAAACAGAACTTCATTTATAATATATAATTCTGCGTTCACACTTGCACCTGTTTGCATACTTTGATTTCTGCTTGTTGTTGTTACCATCAGTGTGCGAAAATACACATTTGACAATCAGAGTGTCCATTGCTGTGCCATTTGAAAATTAGAGTAGATGTTCTTCAGCCGCACATACTTCAAAGTTTAACGGAAAGGAAAATAACAGTATATTGTTACCTGGCATATTTCCCATAAATGTTATTGTTGTGACTCTATGGGTCATGCTAACGTTGCACTTGCCAAGTCCATTGTAGAGATTTGGGATAACAAGGATTAAAAAACAAACAATGGGTGCACAAGCCTCCTACAGCTTTTCAAATTATTTTTACATGTGGAATTTCAAGCGCTTGTCTGACTCTAAGTAAACACAAAAAGTAGCACACTGGGATAGTCATGTTGGCTAACTGCATAGGGGTCTACCTCCGGGGAGGTTTTCTGCCTCCCGTCCAGAGTTGTGCAAACCCAGCCTGCACCCACAAAGCTGAGAGCTGGAACCAATCCATTATCCTCAATTATCTCTAAATAAATTCCAACTTGTGACCTGACCCACAATCAGATATACTATAAGCTTGGCAGTACAGGCAAAAGCTATAGGGTTGGACAACAGCCTGTGGATTGGAGAGGCAACCTCTTCAGGTTTTCAATGGATAATGTTGTGTCTCCACCTGCTCAGACCATGATGTGATGTTTATACTCAGATCATTTTGCAAATTTAATTGTTTATGTGCATTTGACTCTAAACATGGAAGGGAGTAGCAGGACTGCGAAGTTTAAATGTATTATCCGGCCTATAGTGTAGTTTTCTGAAGTATATCTGGTACCAGTATCCTTGTTAGTAGCTGCGGCATCAGCGATCTTTTTACTCTCTGTGGCACTGTTCTGCTTATCATCTATTATTGTTTTTAAATGCAAAAAACCTTCACAACATAGATCAAGATGAAATAATTATCACCCAATTTAAATTAGACATTTCCCCAAATTGGACATTTTTTTGGGGGGATAGATCTCAAGGGGTCTGAGACATCCTGTATTTCGCTCACTGGTTCCCATCCTTGCAAGTTTATTTAATTTGAATGTCTTTTGTATAACTGTGCCTTCTCTTCACCTCACATCACTATTGTGTACAGCCATACATTTTTTCATTCCATTTGTCTGTACATGAACCTTTTTGGCAAGCGAATCATAAAAAGTGAGGTTCAGAGAAAAGAAGGAACAGCTGCTGTCTGCAGCAGTGTGCTGTAACACTGTGTAGACCTGATACATTGACCCATGCTGGTTGTGTGCGCTCTCCCAGGAGATAGCAGAGGAACTAGGGTTGCTGTCTTCTGATAGCTCAGAGGAGGAGGTGCTGACTACCAGGGTGGTCCGACGCAGAGTTATCATTCAGGTAAACAAGCATCAGCTGCTGCAGCTGTGCAGCCCCAGTGCACTGTGGGGTGGTGCAGGGTTTGTGGGAAGCAGCGGTTTAGTGCTTGTTGGTGTTTTTTTATACTTGACTCACCAGTTAATTATATCATACTGAATGTCGCTTACTTGCTTGGCACAAAAATTACATTCTGCAATGCAAAAAGTACAATTTGTGGAAAGTGGCCTTTAAACGACATTTAGGGTGTTTTTGTTCATTTGTGTCTGCACACTCAGCTGCTTTCGTTTTTGTTTTACATTATTTCACTTCTATGTCATTTTCTTTTTTTCTGTTATAGAAATGAAAGCCCCAATGTGTACAATGTTTTGTGACTTTGGTAGTGCCCTAGTGGTCAATACAGTGTCAATACAGAGACTGGAAGGCAGCAATGTGAGAAACCACTTTTGACAAATTTAAATATATATATCATTTTTTTTACAAAAAACAAAACAAATCTATGATCAGAATGATCAGAATGATTTGAATGATTCTACAGTTGCATCAAAGTTACACCCATAGGGGCTTTAAAATAGATCGGGTGGTGTTAGTCATGTACGGGTGCTTTATACCACATGTTGTTTGAAATACTTTCTCTGATGCAAATAACGTGTTGGTTCCTCCCCTCTGCGCACTAACATGTGAACTGATGGTATGTGCTTTGTCTTTTTACAGGCGGATAACCTACCAGATATCCCCCCACACACTGTCACAGAGGAGAAGTACACAGATGAGCATGGCAACATGGTCGTTAAGAAAGTAAGCTTTCATTCAAAGATGTCCCGCATATCCAGCATTCACACTTATAATAACAGTGCTATTCCTTGGCCTGCATGATGAAAGATGTTTACCAGTTTACAGTTTTTACAGCAAAGTGATTCCCTCCCTGTTTCGTCCACCAGATCACTCGGAAGGTGATTCATAAATATGTGTCAGCAGACGGCATGGAGACACAGGAAGTGACCATTGAGGGCTCACACCAGGAGACAGTGCAGATTGAGGAGGGAGACACTGTCTCCAGGGTGGTGAAGAGAACCGTTATTCACAGTGAGGGAGATCAAAAAGAGGTTAGGGTCATCTACAGCACCACTTTAATCATGGCTGCATTACTGGGTTTCCATTTTGTGACCTAAACATAATCTGTGTAGTTTATGAAAATCATTTTTTGCTAATAATCCTTGTCAGTGTGTTAGTAAGCCTGCATCTAGTATTTTTTATATTTTGATCATGAAGAGAGTTCTTTTGCCGCATTCAAAAGTTGTATTAAGTTTGAAAATACCTACTTCTGACTAAAAACACTCGATAAAACATAAAAGTACTCGGTACATTCTATAGTACGTAACCGTCGTTTGACATCTTCTCGTGTTCTCTCTAGTTGACCTTTTCGGAGTACCCGGCCCTGGGAGCCGTCACAGCATCAGAGTTTGAGGTGGAGCCAGTGCAAGGTCGAAAGGTCAGCAAGGTTGTCAAGAAAACGGTTGTGAGAGGCGAGAGGATGGAGAAGCAGACGGGAGACCCCTCACTGGCTGCAGACCTCCCCTCAGCCAGACAGGACTTTGAGAAGGTCAGTGTTTCCAAAAATGAATTCTATGAAAAGACGATTGACAACATGTACTGCTGTATGTGTTTTGGAGATGATCTACTGGTCATGAGAGGAAATACAAAAATGTGGAGGTGTTGATGGTCATGATACCAAAATCACAGTCTAGTGCTTTCACTAGATGCTACTATGTTTTGTGATATCTTGTCAGTAATTACAGATCTTTATGTCAGATTACTAGTGTCTCTTCTCTATCCTCCTTCTGATCCGTCTCTCCTCCCTCGTTCTTTCTCCTCCAGGCATTGAGTTATGCGGGAGGCTTTGGGAAAGTGCTCCTGCCTCATGTAGTAGAGAAAGAGATTGTGCAGGACGACGGTTCTGTGGTTAAAAGGTCGGACAGCAGCATGGGAATGTGTAGAAATGACCACAATGACCACAGTGTACAGTTAGCAGAGCTTAACCTTGGACGCATGGCGTGATTGCACTCTTTCTTCTCCCCTCTAATGTTACAGTCCAAACTCTGATTTTGATTTGTACATGGCAGAGTAAGTGGCAATTAGAAGACAATGTTTTACAACCAGGGTATTATTGTAGTTTTAATTTAACTCACCAGCCCTTTTGCTGAGATCTGGGTGTTGCTGCTTCATCATGTCTCAATCAAAAAGTTTGCAAATGCAATAACTTTCATAACTGATAACTAGCAAAACTTTGAAACGGTTGAAGTATTGAATTTAGACAAGGTTGTGTGATTTGTGTTGAAGTTCTGACGTACCTGTTTGCAGACATTGGAAACGTAAACTGGTCACATGTAAAAAGTCTCCTTTCATCTTCTGAATATGACAAACTCAGTTCAAATGCTTTTTAGGTTACTGTAGCGTGGAAACAGGCCAGTGGGGGAAGCATGTGATTATATCAAATCTGTCTTAGTTTTGTATTGTATGTGAAAGGAAAATGTAATGTTTATTTGATTTAATGATATAGTTTAATATTGGCAGTGGATGTAGCGTGACCCTTCTATCTTGTTCTTGCAGAAGCCAGATGCGTAAGTCGCGAACCCAGAAGAGGACTGTGGTGAGGGATGGCCGGGGGAAGCACGTGCACCTGGAGCGTCTGAACGACAACCCGGACGCCCTGCAGCCCGACGCACTGCAGCAGCACCTGCACCAACTGCTCCAACGCTACTGTGAGGACGACCAGGAGGAGGAGGAGGAGGAGGAGGAGGAGGAGGAGGAGGAGGAGGAGAGCTTTGACTGAGCTGCTGCTTCCACTGACCTTCCTTCTACATCTTCCCCTGAAGCCTTTGGTGACGTACGCTTCATCTGATCAAGATGTCCCAGGTCCCCCTCTTGTTGTCCTCGCCAATCACTGGATTCAGTTTTTTCTTTCTTCTTCTTTCTGTTGAAAAATGGAACAGTCTTTTTGTGCTGTGACACTCTTCCTTCCTTCCTTCACATTGTGTTTCATTTGCTCTTTTTGTGACCAAAGATGGAACCCTTCATTGTTGTCGGATGATGATTTTTGGCTGCTGTGGTGTGATGGTACGAAGCACCAAAGGTGGATCAAAGTCAAAAGGGGGCATCTTGGACGTTTGGCCTCATGCACAGGTCTCTTCTTGAAGAAACATTTGTACATAGAGGAGATAAGAAAGTCATGCTTGGACTGGGGAATTCAAAGCATTTAATAGATTCGCCCGCCTAAACCTGCTGTACATGCACCGATTCAGCTGGAGAATGGCCACCGTACAGATGAGATTAATGTTACAGAGAGAATCAATTGGGATGAGTGAATGTGCGCATCACCATGGACTCTTGATACAGCCAAACAACACCCTGCTGATCTGTTTACAAAGGCTGTGTGATCACGCCTTTTGTCTTCCCACGACGCGTCTGTTTTTGTTTTTGTCTTTCTAATGTGTGTTGTGCATTCACATTTATCTGTCACAGAGCTGCCACTGTGTGTGTGTATATATACAGTGTGTCTACTGAGAAAGAAAGTAGAGATGAGGGATGTTTTGATGCAGATCGAGCACTTACCCTCGCTGTCGTCCGTGTGTCATCCTCCACCTTCACATGCTGCTTCTCCTCACCTGATACTGCAGCGGTGCTCATGCAACTGTCCTCCATCAAGCCTTCTAAAGGAACCAGCTGGCTAGGTTTTTTTTCTTATCAACAAATCCCAAATGCAGAGCCAGACTAACAATGAATCGGCCTACGAACAGCTATTGTGTGTGTATCAAAGCCTGATATATCTTCCTTCTCTGTGCCATAGTGTTTTGGGGGAAGACTCAAAGTCAGGATATTTCTGCGTCTGCTTTATGGAACTCTATGGACGGGCAATTTAGTTTCTAAAATTCTCATTTTCACCCTTTAATGTCATAAAACATCTTGTGTCACATCATCAGTTTTCATAATTTACAGTTTCCTTTTTTATCCTGCATCATGGCCCATTTAAGAGAGAATGAGAGTCTTTATTTCGAAGATTCTAGCTTGTCATTTCTGCCTGTTGTCTTTCATCAATTACCACATTTAACATTTTCTGGTAGCTAAAGTTCTCTGTGAACATGTGTAATGCTGCAAATCAATCGCTGTGTCAGCCAGAAACTATGCTTTGATGTGAGCTTAAATGATCACATTTACAGTTTCCCCCTAATACATTTAGGCTGCTTAATTATTTCAGCAAATTATGAGGCTTTCTCATCATAATCTTAATATTCAATAATTACCAAACAACCACTTTACTAAAAAGTGACATCGCTTTATCTGATGCTAGACAGGGAGGGCATCCTATTTCAAGGAGCTAGCATGAGTGCTGTCATTCATTATAAGTCAATCCATATACACCGTCCTGCTGTCCAGAGCACTAAATGTGATCCGAAACAGTCCCTAAGAAACGCCCTATTTCCTCCTGTTTGAGTAACTACAGTGACCAGCAGGAAATTACTCTCTAAAAATAATAAAAGTATATATTTGTGAGCCATTTTGAAAGATTTACATCTTCAGTAGGAACCGTTGGGTTTGGGGCTGAGGGGCACTGATAGGTCAGGGAGTCAGAGAGTACTGAGAGACGGACTAACACATTGTTGGTTTTGGTCTTTTCATGGAGTTTGTTGACAATAATAAAATATGGAATAACATCAGACTTATCCTTTAGGTTTTTAGAAACCACACATAACATGGAGATGTTCTCACTGCTATCAAAGGATTGACACATCAACTTAAGATCCAAGTAAAGTCGGACTTCCACTGACATCAGTCATCACATAGACTTCTACTTATTTATTTATAGCCGTCCATTTGTGATCCCTGTATAGTCCAGCGGTTGAAGCTGAGAGTGGTGTGTATGTTTGGGTGTGTGTTTGAATGTGTTCTGCAGCTAAAAGTCAAGACAAATGAATATTTGTTTTCTCTTTGCCATCAAAGCCAAACAGCTGGTTGAATTGTGTACAGGCTGATGTTCATCTACAGTTGTAACAATACGATCCTCACGTTGCCGTTTACTTTGTGTCTAATCCAATGGAAGAATAAAAGAAATGTCAAAAAGAGACCACTGATTTGATAAATGAGCATCTTGTTTCCATGGTAATAAGAATATATACATATTAGCAGTGCAAATATCTATGCGGGCATGTATGACTTTATTGAATTACTACTAAAAAAACAAACCTGAAACGCTAACAAGGCATAGCAGCTGCAGTGTGTACATGGCAGAAGAATAAAACTGTACATGAGTCAAACATGGAGTGATGTCATTCTTTCTGACGGCAGCTGGAGGGAGTAATGCTGATTGGTGGCATCCATACTTTTGGACAGTCCAATAATAATAATAATGATGGCTAATAAGGGAGAAACTTGGACAGATTTGTCCATGAAGCTTAGTCCAAGTGACAAAGAAAGAGTTTCAGCAGAACTAGACAAAACAACCCAGACATAGAGTAAAAACACCAGTGACTCATTTAGTAATTATATTAGTACGCATTATATTAAGAGGTAATATTCATATGAATAAGTCTTCTCTGGGGCATTTTTTGAATTTATTCATAACCCTAGACTGAAGTGGATGTAGTCACCTTTAGTCCCCCGTTGGTTTGTGGACTACTGTTTCAAAGTCTAGTTTTTTGGAGGCAGAAATGACCATATTTGGACAAGAGGGTGGAGCTGGGAAAGAGCGAGGCCCCTCGGGGGCCAGGTACCATTAGCAAGCTTGGTTAGCAAGGTGCATCCGTAATACACATAAAATGGGATAATATTTGGGATGCTCAAAACAAGCTGGTTTGTACTGACCAGAAAAAGTTTACATCCGACTCCTTTTAGTACAACGAGCAAAGCTAAAAAGTCACGTATGGTGATGTGTATATATACACACACACACACACACACATATATATGTATACACACACACACATACTGTACATATACAAACACACAGTAAGGGGAAAAGAAGACAAAATGAAACAAGTCCAAACCAAGTCTTTTGGCATATATCACACTTTTTATTTGATATTTCTTAAACATACATCAGGCTTGTCCCTTCATGGTAACATTACTTTGTATACCAGTGTCCCATCACCCATTTCAATGCATCTTAGAAAGATAAAAACAGAGTGTGCTGTGTGAGGGACAAATGTCATTAACAAAAGAATGCAAACCGTTTGAGGCAAAAAATTTGAAATTTCCTTTACACAAATAATCTTCAGTGAACACCCTGTGACTTTATCTTCAAACGTTCCCCGTGCTTTTCTGGAATTTAATTTCCCATTTGTTTTTTATTCACAGCACCCTAACCTGAAGTGTTTTAAATATGGACCTTAAGATATGAATCTGCAAGTGATGCAAACAAATCCCCTGTGAGGATTAAATAGCACAATAGAGTAACATAACAAGAACTCAAATGGTGATTTCCTGCCTAGAAATTCTGGCTAAAAATGGAATTCCCTCATTATAAAAAATGAATGGCTAACTTGGTGCGGTAAACATTGGCATACACCAGTCGGACATAGAATAAAGGTGGGACTCAATCAAGGAGGAAAGGGCTTAAAGGAAAGCATTATTAATGACAAGAGGAAGGACAGGCATCAACATCACAATATCAAAAGTAAACAAGAAATTAGCTGATACAAATCACATCATTAGTTCCTTACTGTATGAAAACATGATTAGACTGGAAGAGTCACAGAATTGTAAGCATGTAGTCTACACATTCCATCATAAGAGACTCTTCCCTGTGATGATGGAGGTCCAAAGTAAAACACATGTTTTAATTGATTTTCCCTTATAAAACATGAAGTTAAAATTCCTAAAAATTGCCAGTGGCAAACCAGAAAACAGATTTGTAAAATGAGCTGACTCAGTTCATATGGATACTGCTAAAGATTAAGCAAAGAGAGAGCAATTCACATCAATTACCAAAATGTATACATCACCAAAACAAAAGCAAGCTTGTGGCCGACCTTTAATACATGGCAATTCTAAAAGGAGTAAAAAGCAGATATGTGATATATTGGTCATTGTGCCAAAAGGCGAAAACATCACAAAAGCGCAATATGTGCACTATTTAAATGAAAACTGTCAATACATGATGTCTGGAAGTTCCACACATTTCAGCAGGCAGTTAAAAATGAATTAACGGGAACAACCTGCTCCTCTGAAAACCACTTCTGGTTAAAACATACTGATCCAAAACACGCCATGATGAACACCACACACTCTCACTACCAAGTTTTCGCCTCGTTTTTTGTTTTTGTTTTTAACATGTACAATAATCTTCAGTCCAGCAGCGACAATATGTAAACAACACACAGAGAGGGCGGAGCTCTAGCTAGTGTGGACAGGGATTGGCTGAGGGATTTGATGGACACTCGGTAAGTGGGGCCTGTTTGTCTGACTGTTGTAGGCTGTAGGGTGTCTGTCATCAGAGATGGTCCTCTCAACTGAAACACACATCACACGTGGATTAATACAAGATAAAGAAGCAACTCAAGAAAATAAACATGACATTTGAATTACTACATGTTTGTTTTCAAAGTCAAATATTTTGTACTTTCCTTTTGCTTGTAAATACTTTTTAGAAATTGGAATGTCTCATTTTTCCACAACGGGGGTCATTAAACTGGACTTAATATAATGAAGTACTTAAGTTAAATTGAAGGTGAAGATGAAAGGTTTGGCTTTACGGATGGCAGGAGAAGCCAAGGCTGCAATAACTTTTATGACCACAATTTTTTATTTTATGCAATCAATGAGGCATGTGCAATATGGTTGAAAGCTTCACAATAGGCAAGTAAGTGGACCTTGAGTTTTGTAAACTGTTTGTTCCAAAGTAAGGAATGAACTGTCAAGCTCTTAAGTTAAGTCAACATTTAGTATAAATACTGATTATTTCTTATAGTTCTAAGCTGAGTGCGATCACTACTATCCCGAAAACTACTACTTCATATTTTGCGCCAATTGATATGTTTGCAATCCATATTCTTGGTGCCTTAAAAATGATATTCACTACATATTTCTGGTGCCCCGTGTGTTTAAGTCGCCTTTAACGCATTCATGCGAAAGCTTAAATAGCAAATGAAAACAAGTAGATCAGGCAAAATATAGATAAAATAACAAAAGCAATAAATATATGTGTAAAAAAATATTAGATTTTATTGTAAAAAACAAAAGTGCAGCCAACAGAATCCTATTGACCAAAGAAACACTTCAGACAGGAAAGTAATGGAGGTGAAGAACAGAGAGGCTGACAGGGCCGGAGGCCGTGAGCTTACTTGGCGGGCACGGTGGGTGAGCCGGAGCGGTGGAAGTGGATGTTCTGCCACTTGCTGTCGCGGCGGTGCCAGATACGGGTCTCCTCTGACTGCATGGTGCGAGGTATGCCGTTGCCATCGATGTACTGGGTGAGGCGGATGTAGGCGATGCAGGCCGCCTCGTCCCCGATCAGGTGGACGTGGGGGTTGAGCAGGATGGTGTGGATGGGCTGCTTCCCCTTGGATAGAGCTGCAGAGGATGGAGATCACAGTCAAACTCTATTCAGACTTAATGTGACAGCTCATCAGACCAGGGCTCAACAATAAGGATGGAAATAGCTAAGAAGTGAGCCATCTGGTTTCTTTCTCATCCCTCAGTTGCATGTACACAGCACTGATTGGGCTCTCGGGAGGAGAATAGAATAGAATAGAAATATACTTTATTCATCCCCAAGGGGAAATTTGTCTGTGGCAGCAGCAAACAAGGTTACACAGTATTAAACAGAAGGTGTTGGTATAGACAAAGTTCACGAGGTGAAGCGCAAGCGAGCATTTCAATTATCCTGGTTAAAGAAGTTTAGCTGGGTGGAGTTGGAGGATGTGGGCAAAAACCCTTATTAATTAACTTAAATAAAGATTAAACATGAAAATGAACTTTGGTCTTTGTTGTTATTTGATGACTGCTAATGAACAAATCAAATTGCATAGGGGCAAGTCAAAATCTGAGTTATAACGTTTCTATCAAATCAAAATAGGGAACGTTTTTCAGCCTAGAACGTCCCGACTCTTTTCAAATGTGCTCAAATTCACTTAAAAACACAGTCAAAAGAAAAATACTTTTTACTTGGAGTGTTTCTGATCGCTCTGCTGCATCACTCGACCATCTGAAACACTGACTATTTACCATTCTCAAAGTAGAAGCGGTGGAAGTCGGTGCCCTCCACCAAGTTGCCCAAGGCCTCAGGCTCAAAGGACGTGAGGCCGGGATCACAAATCTTCCTGGAATAGAACAGACGCAAATCTATCAGAGTCACAGAGAGATTTGTTCTGACATGTAGAAGTCAGATATTTGAAGTGAAAGTCAATTTAAATAGCTAAACTAACGTGTAGGCTTCAAAGTCTCCATTGTTGATGGCCTCAATCAGCTGCTCAGTGACTTTAATGATCTCCTGCTTACGAGCTGAGAGAGAGACAAAAAGAAGAGGTTAGATTAGATGGGAAACACAACCCCTGGTCAATATGAAAAGAAGCATTATGAACTTAAAAATGAATCCAATGTGGACCATGAGGACAACGTGGACCAAAAAGAAAAAATCACAACATCCAGGGACTTAGATTCACACAGAGATACACTGTCACGTAGAAAAGACTGGTAGGAAGTTAGTTAGCATGATTCAGCATACAACAACATCAACATGACCTTTCATGCTAAGTAGGTGAGCTAGGAAACAATCAATGGAAAGAATACGTGCTGTTGTTACGGCTTGCTAAAAAGTACACCCACGACTGACATTTACACTATGGAGATGTCATAATGGAGTGACACACACACACACACACACACACACACACACACACACACACACACACTGTCCATTTTTACCTTCAACGGCATGAAGTCCGCTGTTGTTCCCGGCTAACTGAACGCTAACAGTCGGCTGTGCACTGATTCCCTCAAGGAACAATAAGAGCAAAAAACTAAGAACAGAAAGGTGGAACATGCTGCCTGGTAAACTTTGTGTTTTGGTTCGAGACAAAAACGAGCAGCTGCAGCATCAGATGGGATACAACCAGAATACCCTCCTCTGATTGGCTGTTTTCATTAAAAGCTTGACACAGCTGAAATAATGTGGTGGACTTTACTCTGTAAACAGAGACTTGGTACTGATTAGGTTTACTGAGACTATCAGTTTGTTCATGGGGCCCCATGAGGCCAAAATGGGCCTTTTACAATCTTTTCATGAAACTGCACAATTATATAAGAAGATGCTTTGTCCAAACTTTATTGCCACATTCACACACATAAGGAGCGTTTAGTATGTCTGCGTCTTGATGTGTAGATGCCATGTAGAGGGGATTTTGGACTGCTTGAACTGGATACAAGGAGCCTTTAATCCGGGCTGTTTGCTTGGTGTCCAAAACCAGAAATGGTAGAGAAAACTACAGCAACTACATTTATTCCAATTTAGCTTGAAAAAAAAGTACCATACTTTTGTACATTTTGTGAGGTTATATATTTCTGCTCTCGGCCTAAGTAAGGGAGTCAGTTGAACATTTTTGATACAAGAACTGAGTTTCTTTCCCAAGTGCACTTATTCTCATCCTTACTGTTCCTCCTTTTCAAAAAAGAGGCCAAACTTGTCACGTTAAATTTTGGGTCAAAACAAACAGACGTACTCGATAGACTGAGTTGCCATGTTGTTTCACTTCATTCATTCAGCCCGACATGTGCAAGATAGCAGAATTCTGTTGGGAGTTATTTGGTTTGGTGTAGTCCTAATCAGTCAGTAGTGACTGATGTATTTGTCTCTCTGACGTCATTTTCTGTTGACACAAAAGCTGCTCTAGCTGTTGATGGGAGCTGTTAATAAGGTCAATCAAAACTGCTGATGTGACGTTTGTTATTTCTGTAAGAGAGCTGTGTCCACCTCATGCACAATCAATAGATTTGCCAATGATGTGACGTTGATACAGTGCAGTCTGAAATGAGCAAAATTGCGATCTCAGTTGGGAACGTTCTGATCAATGAATGGCTGAACAAGGTTGTAAAGGGGACCAGACTTGGACCATTCTAGATCCAACCTTATTAAAAATCTACATAAACAATGTTGCTCACGCTGCAAGTGGCTGTCACATCCATTTGTATGCCGATGACACCATCTTGTACACATCTAGCTCCTCCCTGAATACCGCCCTGACTTCCCTGCTGCACAGCTTCAACAGTATCCAACATGCTTTCTCCAACCTTCACCTTCTCTTAAACATGACCAAAACTAAGTATTTGGTTTTTAACAGACACTTACCATAACCTGCCTGCACTCTCGAAATCTCCTCCAGGATGGATCAGAAATCCAATTTGTGGATTCCTATAAGTCCTCGGCTATCTGGCTAGACAGATCGCTCACCTATATTGGATGTCTCCAATTATCGGCCAATCAGTATCCTCCCTGCTGTTTCCAAAATTGCTGAGAAATGTGTTGCAGAGCAACTTATTAAAACTCTCAACAGCTCTCCATATCATCTGCATCCTATGCAGTTTGGTTACAGGGCTAATCATTCGACTGAAAAAGCCAACTGCTTCCTCTTAGAGAATGTGAAGCTTAAAATGGATAAAGGGGGTGTAGTAGCAGCGGTTTTTCTTGACCTGAAGAAGGCTTTTGATACGGTGAATCACAATGTCCTGATTAACAAACTGTCAAATTTTAACTTTTCCCAAGAGTCTCTTGCCTTGCTGAAATCCTACCTTGAAGGAAGAACCCAGTGTGTCAGAGTGGGTGATGTTTCATCATCTACTCTAAGATCTAACGTGGGAGTACCCCAGGGTTCTATTTTGGGACCTTTACTATTCAGTTTATACATTAATGATTTGCCGGGTGTCTGTGATGGGTGTGATATTCAAATGTACGCTGACGATACAGTGATTTATGTGCACGCAAAGAACAAGCTGCACTTAAACTCACGTCCACAATGACAAATGTAACTAAATGGCTTGCAGATTCCTGCCTTCACCTGAATGTTAAAAAGACTGTTTGTATGTTCTTCACAAAGAGGGCTTGCAAAGTGTCACTGGAGCCAGATTTTTATGTTGCTGGTGAGAGGCTACAGGTATATGTCAGATTTAAATATTTAGGAATTTTCATTGATTCTAATCTCTCTTTTAAAAAACAGGTAAAACATGTGACAAATGTCTTAAAATTTAATCTCATGAATTTTAGATATATAAGACACTGTCTAACCATGCAAGCTGCAAAATTGTATTTTAATGCGATGATTGTCCCCATCTGACCTACTGCTTAACCAGCTGGGCACAAGCCAGCAGCACAACATTAAAATCCATTCATATTCTCCATAAACAAGCCCTAAAAACACTTGATAAAAAACCCAAAAGTCACCATTACTGCAATATTCTCACCAAACACCATATCCTGAGTTGGGATATCATTAAATTCACTAATGTATGTCTGGTTTTTAAAATGTTACATGGTATGGCCCCGCCTCCACTTAGTGATTTTATTAAACAAAGCACTCAAAGCAGCAGACTCACTAGATCTGCTTCAAGAGGTGATTGTGTCATGCCACATAGGTCAAGCTCGTTTAGTAAATCTACATTCTCTGTGAAGGCAGCTCACTCGTGGAATGCTCTGCCACCACACATACGCACACAAAACACGTACAAAACATTCAAGCATAACTTCAAGGAATGGCTTGTTGCCAATCAGGTGTGCAAGCATTGATGTGCTGTCTGTCCTGGCTGCTTGTTTCGCCTATATGTGCATTTGTCTTGTTCAGTGTTGCTATTTTCCATTTTTTTGATGTGTATGTTATGTGCTTCAGTGTTATATATGTGCTTGTCCTGTAGGTGGGTCTGTTCTGCATGACGCATGCTGAAACCTGTTATGTCTGCTCTGCTTTAATGTCGTACACTTTTCTTTTGCTGTGTATTGGTTTTGTCTATACGTTGCTGTCTGTTTCTCTATGAATTTTAATTCCGTTTCAATTTGAGATTTTGTTATTTTAGGCTGCCTTGAAACATCTGGCCGGGACAGCAGATGGAAATTAGCCTCTCTAGCTAACTCTGGCTCACTTACAGTGCAACTGTTGATTGGTGTGCATTGTCCCTGAAAAATAAATAAAATAAATACAATAAATAAAATAAATAAAATGTACATAAACTCACTGCTTTCCAAAATCAGATCAAGAATTTGTTTCTTGTACCGTAACAAAGCCTCCTTTACCCACTCTGCAAAGCACAGTCCTCCCCATCTTAGACTATGGGGACGTTATCTACAGGTCCGCCTCCAAGAATCTTCTCAATAAACTAGACGTCATCTACCAAACCGCCATCCGCTTTGTCACCAGTGCTCCTTTCAGCGCTCATCACTGCAGCTTGTACTCTCTAGTCAACTGGTCACAACTCCGTACCTGCAGATGAATCCACTGGTATCTATAAAACTATCATTGGTAAAACCCCCACATATCTCTGCTCTCTCCTTATCATCTCCAACAGCAACCACAATTTACACTCTAGCTATTTCATCAACATGGTCATTCCAAAAGTCTGTACCGCCTTCGACCACTTCTCGTTCCAGTCTGCTGCTCCAAGCAACTGGAACAAGTTCAAAAATAAGCCAAAACTCCACACCCTCATGCCGTTGCCCTTCTTCACTAACTCATTACAAACGATAGTCTCTGATCACTGCAACTGTTTTAGTTTGCTTCTCCAGGAACTTTAAAAAAACATATTGTACATATGTTGTAATCTCTGTATTGATTGAGATGTTTCTATGTTTTTATTCGTTTGTAACGACTCGCCTCCGGTTGCCGACTTTTTGGCCAGGTCTCCATTTGAATGAGAACTGGTTCTCAATTGACTTATCTGGTTAAATAAAGTTGAAATAAAAAATAAAATAAATAGAATAGACTCACAATCATCTCTAGAGGTACCAGTGGTTTACCGAGATAAGAAAGGAGGGGGCGGGGCTAGCTGGTTAGCATGCTCATTTCAGTAGCTATCTCTGCAGCACAATACACAGTCGTCTTTGAAATAACGTCTACACTGTAACCTCCTCACATTGTTTGGCTTAAATTTGAATAAAAATACATTTTACTTAAGAATTATTGGTTTGAGTAATTGTTCCACCACTGTACGCAGCAGTACTAGTAACCATTTATAAACCAACATAGTACACGTGTATTGTACTGCAGAAAGCCACATTAGCTGCCATCATTTTAACATAGCAGAAGAAGACGTAGCAAATCTTTTTTCTCAGAGTGCTTCACTTCTCCCATCTCTCTGAAAACAGAATAAAAGAAACAGAATCTTGCCTGATAGTTACTCTACATTCCAGCCTGGATTAATGTCTTTTATAAAGCAAACAAAACAGGTTTGTGATGGTATTTATCGGTGTCACTCAGTATAAAATATGATCGCTAGTAGCTGTATTAAGAGCTGAATCTCTGCCAGCAGAATACTGCCACGCTCCACAATATGTGTGGGGTGGAAATAATGCCGTTTGAGCTTCTGTCAGCTGTGTAATAAAAGGTCTTCACCTCTGGGATACCTCGTTAGAGCACGGACAGAAAGATGGAACACTAATGGATAGAAACATACACATGTAGCAGATGGCGATAAATACAAAGATACTACGCAGATAAAGGGATCCATGGCAGTAGGACTGCAGAAGAGATGATGGGCCACATCAGACACAAACCCACAATATTGACTTCAAATTCTAGGGGCGATATATTGTGACTTTTTACAATTCACGTTTAGAAAAACGGTCTTAAAAAAAAATAAATAAATAAAAATCACACCACCATATGCATAACATCTGGATACTTTTTTATGCAATCACAACATCTGTGAATATACATTTTTTGAGAATCAATACAGTATCACGTAACTCTTTCTTACAGCCCTTATTCATACCATTGCCACTAACCAAAAAAAACTAAAGAATATTGTTTTGGAACCTTATTTAAATTTCCTACAAATCCTTTCTTTCACCTAACAAAAGAAGCCTTTGTTTTTAAATGTGCAATGCTGTCTTAACAAAAGCAGCCGTACGAGAGCTTTGCCTGAATTTAAGTCTAAAGACTTTTTGATTTAAATCAGGAACTGCCTGACAAGCTCACAAGATTTAAAATGGGGCCACACATTCAATGCAAGCTTTTCATACCTAATGTTCAATTCTTTGTATTTTAGACACATTTCAGTTGTTATCGAAAAGTGCCTTTGAGAAGCTATCTTGATCTTACTTGTGAATGAAACTTAAAGGCCATGTCCATACTACTCAAAGGCAGACAGAGTTACTACATTGTCATGGGCGGATTAGCCAGATGGGCCTACCAGGAGATTAAATTCCATTGTATTGTTAAATAGCCTGTTCAGGATTCCCTGAGTTCTATTCATCTTTTGTTGTTACTCAGACCACAAGCTGTAGTGCTAGTCTACCCTTGTTGTACTGGTATTAAAGCCCTGAGATATCAGGACTGCTGTGAACTTTCTCTCCACTGAGCAATGAAGCAAATCTCATCATAACGATCTGTTTTCTTCTAAAGCTCAAGTCATCTTTTCCTCACTTTGGAACCTGAGCTATTTCTGCTTCAACAAAAGATGTATTTTACATCAGCTTTTCCAAAATGGTAACTTTTAACAGACAAGGGCCATGTTTGACCTGGCCACCAGGAGTCTATATACTGTATGTCATATAACAGAAGCAAAGTGTTAAAATGTTCAAAATGTCTTCAATTCATCTTTAAATACTTCAGATTAAACTCTGAGGCCGTACCCTGTGAGGAGGGTCAGACGATGGCTCATTTTACTGATCACTAACCAAAAAGGGTTCGGAACCACAGAATCAACACTGAGGAGTTGTAACAGCTTCTGACCAGTGAGGGGTGCTATGAGACAGAAGACACAGTGGATGAGGTGTGGCCGTGTTGAAATATTAGTCCAACAGAAGTCTTTTTAATGCAATATCTCTTTTTTCTCAAAATGTCACCTTACCTTTTCTTCAGAGCAGAGGACCTTTTAAAAATGGAATATGTAACCACTTAAAGTTAGGAGCAGCATTAAGGTGACCGTGTCTATGAGCCTGGAGCTAAATCCAGGATGTTTTCTACTTTTAGGGACATGTACAATTCTACTTCTTCTTTCACTTGTGAATACCATCAGTGATGACAAAAGGAGGGAAAGCTTGCAGTTTCTTCCCAAGCACTGGGAAATGGACTTACACTGGGAGTTGGTGGGGCCCAGACTGGGCAGGGGCCCCTGCGTGGGGTGTGATGGGGGCCACAGAGGCATTTGGTGGGATGATCAGAGAAAAAGACCAGAAAGGAAGATGTGAAGAAGAGGAGCAGGTACGCAGCCACCAGTGCCCACAGGTTGTACTGGCAGCACTCTTCACCACTGGGCCAAATGCTGGGAGAGTACCAGCAGGACAAGGAGGAGGAGGATGAGGAAGAAGAGGAGGAAGATGAAGATGAAGAGGTGGAGGAAGGCCTGTGAAAGGTGGAGTGGTCTAAGTGCTTAAGGTGATAGATTTGGGGACTGGAGGAGGGAGAGTGTGCTGACATAAAACAGGGTACAGAGGATGATGACGGATGGATGGAAGGAAATGTAGATGGACAAAGAGGACGAAGTAGGAATGACAGGAAAACATGAAATGGAGAATATATGAAAAGCATGCAGGAAATGACAGTTTGTTCAAAGCACTTCATTCTCCCACCAGCTGTAAACAAATGAGTTTGGACAGATTATGCGAACATGTTCAGGGATGTGGATATGCAACAACTAAAGAAACAGTTTGGGTCAGTAAGATGTAAAGATCAACATCAGCTCCATCTCTGTATCCCTGTGGGTACACTAGTGAGTAAGGAGCTCAGACTGTAAAGCTTATACAAAGGTCAATCTTTGGCTACATTCAGTAGCAGTATTCATTCATCTGTTTGTAACAACCTGTAATCACAATATTTAAATCTTATCAACTTTATTGAAAAAGTTGATAAGGTCAACGCATTAACACAGATCAACATTAGCATTCATTTGGACTCATGTTTCCATCAGACTCAGTGTAGTACTTCTTGAAGAGGTGAGTTTTCAAGTTTTTCGAGTGTACATTAGAAATAACCACATGGAAAAGCCTGCTTTATATATTCCTGTGCAAATAAAATACTTGACAAACAAAAAGGACTACTTTCATTAAATTAAGAGAGTAAGTGCAAAATAAAACAGTTTCAAGTGAAATTATAGTATTAAAATAAGTATTAAACACCCTTTGTTAATCGCATTGAACTAAGTGGTATATGTAAAGTAAATATCTGATTTTCAGAATTATCTGATCCAGTATGTGCTTGTTATATCAATTTAGAGAATGTAATTATGTATCACGATATCTCAATATGTGATCAAGATATGATTCCATTGAAAGACGATAAATGATCATGTTAGATTATCGCCAAACCGTAATAAAATCACCTGCTTAGTACGTTACTGCCTCCAACTTTCAGCCAACAAATACTGACCACTGGAGAGGAAATTAGACTCTAACAGGAAGCCATCAACCATCCATCATTTAGATCGGTGCAAATGAGTCACAATGAAGAAATAACAATACTATCTGCCCTCATTGGAAGCGGCAGTTCCTCCACAAAGAGCTTACTGCAGCAATCACAATGGATGTCAAGATTAAAATCCTCCGCTAATTTCATAAAGATTTCTCAGACTCTTTTGTGGGCTGAGGCTCTGATTGGGGTCACGAACGAAAGAGAATAATAGCAGAAAGACATGATGAGGGAATAATGTCTTCCTCTGAGAAAACTGAAGAGATGCTACTGAACATTAGAGATATTTGTTCTAGTTGTCCAAAGAGTGGAATTGATTTGTGATTGTGTGTCATTCCGTCTGTGTTTTCGGATTGCTCATTACAGAACTGACCTTTGACACAGACAAATGTGA